TGATCTGGACGAAGCAAACCGGCTGTCGAAGAAGATCGACTTCTTCCAGCTAGAGGAATACGAGAAAGATATGATTCAGAACATATTAGAGTACAACTGGGACAGCGAAAATCAGATGGTTTCGAATTTGTTACATTTTCCGCATATTATGCCGGAAGATAAACGTCTGAAATGGCTGTTAAAAGGACTAAAAGAAGAAAAGCATTCTTACTACGTTCTCGCGGCGGCTACAGGTGTCGCAGGACTAAAACTCCATGGAAAAGACACCGAGGAAATTGTGGAATTATTGAAAAACATTTCAACATCCTCTCAGCATGGAATGGTCGCCCTCCGCGCATTCATGTCTTTAGTTGAATACCTAAAACACCCCAAAGATACATCATTTGTGCTAAAATTCATGCACAAATCTAAATCAAATTTACGGTACAATTCCTTGGATTGGCTGTTGCATAATGTAAAGGACAAAAAAGAATTGTTGTCGTTGCTGGAGGATAAATCTATACCAGAAGACGTAAAACAAGAAGCTGTAGACAGGGTCAAGTCATCGACAGACAGCGAAGAACAAGGTAACTAAAAACAAGAATGAGAAATATTTAACGAAGGTATTTTTATAATGCCGGCTCTGAGAAGGTAAGTGTATGTTTGCCTCGCTTGATTAATCCACCATAAAAATGTGAGGCAAGGTATTACCCAGATTGACATTAAGGAAATGTTTGAAAGAGACTATTTAATCCGTTTAAGATACGCGATTAGTTCGTTTTGCAAGTCAAACGCACAAAGCACGACAGCAAATGTATCAGATTATGGATCTCATGATGTTTACTCTGAAAACTTTATGAACTATAATTAAAAAAAGGCCTTTGATCCTCAGTTGTTCTGTTAGAGTTCACAGCTCTGCTTCCGGGGTTTACACCCTTAAGTATTTTCGGCCGGTGGCAGAAGTCCATGCGTCTTTTCTGAGAGTCACTTTTCATAACAAACCCTTTGGCATAACTGCAAAGTGTACTGAATTTGTTGTGACTGAGAACTAGATTATTGGCGCCAGCGTGTTTGCTCAAGCTCTCTAGAGTGATCTGAAATTAGACGCTAATGAGCAAATATTAAAACCATCGGAAACATTTATGCTTTCTATGTTTCCCATTAGGATTAACAACAAGTTATCCCGTAAAATTCTGAGTTGAAACACTTGCTTACAAGGATTACCTTCGGGCCCTATGTACACACCTTTGAGTTCAAATCACTTTGATATTACTTAACGAATAAAAGAATTTTAATCCATCACTGGCTAATAGTTTACATAGAAGGTAAAACAAAACTACGAACCATATCGCAAAAATACAAAAGATTACAGCCGAGAGGATTTTGATCAATATTGTCTTCAGATCTAGACATGTGGCTTGGAGATTGTTCAAATTTGCATACATTTTATATTATATCTTGTCTTCAACCAGTTGGTGTAAATTAAAACATAAACAACGGTAGGATGACAGCTGACTGTACTTTAGAAAAAGGTGACCCTTAAAATTAAGACCATTTCATTGAAGTGTTGAAAGTCTTTTTTTGTTTGTATCTTAGCTTCATGTCCAATTTCATTTCGAATGTTCTTAGTTTATTTTATTCCATTTTGAATAATTATCATTCAGGTGACCAGCTGTGAGGTTCACGGTAAGATCGCAAATGATCGGTTCAACTCATTAGAGAAAATGAAAGAGTTCTTTGCTTTGGCTAAACAAAAAGTAAATTGATAACGCTCTTGGAGATAAAAAGCCTAAGGGACATAGCGTAATAAAATTCATTCAAAAGCATAGCTGTCAATCGTTGGTTAGAATTAGTTGCTATTAAGTCACTTTTTAGCAAGTAGTGGTTCCGCTATATTTGAATTTTCAATTGTTCCCCACTTAAGTCAAAGCTAGGCTTCTGGACAATACACCATTTAAAAATGAAATGTTTTATTTTAATAAGGAAGAAAAAAACGAACATGATTTTTTCATCAGTTATAGTCAGTTTTCTTTTCACTGGCTCTGTCAATTCCAAGCGTGCCCATCCCCCCCGGGCATTTCTCGGGCATTTGTCATCTTGTTGGTCCCGGCGGTGGGGAATTTGTCCAGAAAACCTGGTCAATTGACGACAGGAAAGGTAACCTGTGTACACAGGCTGCAGGAAAGGGCGCGGAAAGAACTAAACGCGACTTCCGGTGCCCAATTTGCTGCCTTGCCGTTGGTCAAGCCAGTTGTTTGGTTTGCGCTCGCCGTCGTCAACTGACGCTCCCGTTCTGTTGCTAAATCAGCCTATCTCTCACAAAACGGTGTCCACTCAACATGGCGATGCTGTTCCTCCAAATATGATCGGTTTATTAAGCAACAATGACTTAGTTTCGACTATTTTACGACGTTTGAACACCGTATGTGTTATGATTGGTCTTGGTTTTCTAAAAAAATTACTTGTTTTTAACTTCCAGACTGGGAAAACGAAGACCTTCATCACTTTACGTTCGTTCCAAACCTGGCAGAATTCGAGGCCATGCGAACAAAGGAACAAACCTTGTCAGAGCTGTTTAGCGAGCTGGATTTGGACAAAGATGGATTAATCGGCGCCAAGGAGCTCAAAGATTTCTGCGAAGACATCGGTCAAGATATAACATTGGAGGGAGCGGCCAAAGATATTGCGCTTGTTGACAGCGATAAGGACGGAAAAATAGATCGAGATGAGTGGATAGAACTGATGTTTCCAAAATTTAATATTCAATAATAATCATAGCAAATAACTTAGATATTGTTTACTAGCGATCACTCCTCTTAGATGTGGTGCGAATGACGATTAAACGCGTGGGGACTGGGATGAGCCCCACCCTCTTGTCTTCTCAGTCTTAAAGTTCATACTTAGTCGTTAACTTTTTCTGAAAATGAGCTTGAAAAATATTATAGACACAGTTTAAACAATTCAGTAGAGGTGTACAGAGAGTGTCATCGCTGCTCCAAGTTATCTAAGAGGCTAATACATGCCAAAGCACTAGTAGGACACTATTAACTGTTGACATGATGTCGTTTACACCGTCTTTTGAATTTACATCAAGTTACTTCAACCCTTTTCTTAGAAGACAGGTAATTCCGGGGAAGTCCTTCCGCCCTTGTGGTTAAGATCGGTGGACAATGCCTTCTAAGAAGAACGTTTTGCGGTATTTAGTTGACCGTTTACGAAGTGTTCAATCTTACCAATACTATCACATTCCAACAAAACTAACATGGGCGTCAAGAGCTGACATTTACGACAGTCTTCAGGAAATAAATGACGGTACTACCCTCTCCCCTATGCAATGATAACACTGCTGACCAGCGAGTCTGTAGGCAGAAAATTACAAGGTAAACTTGATCCGGGTCGGATAGACAAAGGGTTATCATAGTCTGTTACCGGAACAAGACGCTGTCGTAAGGATACTTGGGCTTCACCTTGTGCTCGTGGCTTTCGTTCAGTCATCGGCACACAGCGCAAGCGCAATAGAGTTTGAGTGTTGTGCAGTTCTGTTGTCTAATGACGAAGAACTTTGCTTTCCAAAGGAATCCTTAATTAGCAAACTTCGATAGATGAATGTGTTTGACTAATTTAATTAAGTAATATTAATTTAGTTGATTGTAGATATATACTGAAGTGTCTTCTGCTAAGACGTAGTGCATGTATCAGAATGAATAATTTTGACTAAAGACCACTGTCCTTTTTGTAAGCATTTCTCAAATGGAAAACTTTTTAAAAAAGCTTTGTTGTCTGTTTCAGTTAATCGGTACTGTACAATAAGAATTACCAAAAATACAAGAATTACAGTGACAAGACGCTTCGATATTTCCACCATAATTGCTTAGTAGGGCGTGGACGCCAGGTAACGATAAAATGTTCTGCAATTGGTGTAGGATTTAATGGAGCCGAAACCAATTGTGGAATTGCACACATTTTAGGCATCCTACTGATGAACAGTTGCGACACGTAGAGATATATATATATTTTTAGCAACTAGGATAATTTGCAGTCTGTCTACTTTGAATTGAAATGAAGTAGTTCTTAAATTCTCTGACCTCGTTTACTGACATCTCGAAGTGGCTTTAATTCTTGTATTTCGGTAAAAGTAGGTATGAAAATACAAAATAGGGATCAAGCTCCATATTAGGGTAATTTTTTTGCCCAGTTGTGTATTTCTCTAAGAGATAAAAAGTATATGTTGACTGTGTCAGCATAGTTAACTTATTTTAAGATGCATTGCTAAGGATTAAACAAAATTAACAAAAAAAAAGATAGCTCGACGGCCTTCAAATAATGGAAGCCACAAAATGTAGTTAGCTCTGAGTAAACTCGGCGAAAAACGCTGACTTCTAATATTAAACAAGTGTAAACCAGTTAAAAACATGTCTGATTATAGACTGTCGCCTTGGTTATTACAGCCAAACCAGGCGGGTAAGGCGAATCCTATTCCACATATGTCGAATGCCGTATAAGTGGTTCAAATCGAGGCTAGGCTAACTCTGGAGTTCTCGTAATAAGACGCTAAGACAAAGGTTGATACGTGTGTATGTAAGCGTCAAAGGGTTAATCCTCAACGTTGCCCAGATGATCCTATTGATCATTTTCGACCACTGAGTGCAGGCGTCTTTAAGTGTGCTCGGGGTCATCCCTTGAAAAATTTCCTCAGCTTAGTTCCAACCTTCTAGTTAGTGAAAGCAAATCGCTTTGAAACGAAAGTTAAATGGCTAGTTTTGCTAATTTAAAGAGCGTGGTCTCGAGGACACACCCTCTCCCCCCCCTCCCATTTCCCCTCATTACAATATCGTGCGCATGCTCAGACGGAGACTTGTTCAACGACAGAATTGTGTGGGTTCCTAAGCTGCATATATAAAAACTTGTTTTAATTTTGTAAATTCATTTTTTACATATTTACACAGATATATCAGAACACAGATAAGAGAAACAACCTTTCCGCATACAAAAGAAGGAAATGCGATTGTCAAATCCAGCTATCAAGTTTGTTTTGACTTAGCAATACTCTTTAGACACACCAGGCCGTCTGTCACGCACGCGGGAGCCTGGTTAGAGCCCAACTCCTTCAGTTCTGCGAGCCACTTGCTGAGAAGAGCGATCATTCTATCTGGTTGCCATGGAGACATGTCGAGAAGAGAAACTGCAGCAGCGAGTTGTATGGCATACGTCACTACAAAGAAAAAGGAAAGTTTTGAAACTAGCACATTCAAATGACAGCTATAGACGAGAACTTCCCCCGTACTGTTCACTATGCTGTATATAGGCGAATCCTTGTTGATATTTTTTGCCTAATTTTACATATGTTTATCATTATCTGAAGAAGCTTATAAAAGAAAATCCCTGCATATTAAAAGAACAGAACAATTTCAGTTATCTCTAAAATTATCTTTAAAAGCCCCTAAGCTTAAAAAAGTATGTATAAGGTCATTAACGTTTTGGCCAACAAGCAATTTCGCAGTTTTTGATTGCTGATAGTTCCTTTGTTATGGTTGCAAAGAGCTGAAACTTCGACGAAGTGCTCAAATTAACCAACTCTTTCAAGTTTTGAATATTATCTGCATATACGGCGACGTCCTCTATTTTTTAACCGGTATACTAATGAGCAAAAATGTAAACATTGACGTCAGCAAGGATTCGCTTATAAAATCAGTCCGCGAAGACCATTTAAAAGGAGGTTTTATTGATGCTTTCCCACCAAAAATCGACAAACTGCTCTTCAAACGTCGCATAACGTTTATCCAGGAACTTTACCCAGGAGATGTACTGCACTATATGTGGCCACCTGAAACGAAAATTAAACAGCTCTTCCAGAGCATCACGGAAAGTGTTTCATACCTTTCGAGTTCGTTGTTTCTTCCATCAGTCCGCATAAAAGGTCTGTTACTTCAGGCACAGGAGTTTGGTTATTTTCAATTGCAATCCTGCATAAAATCCCTACAAACGAAGAGCGTATCAGGCTATAATGACAAGTAGTTTTAAAATCCTTAAATTTCTAATTCTGCTTTTTAAGTAGAGATTCTGATCAAAATACCTCCCAAGATATTTTTGAAACTCGTGAAAGTAGGTTCCCGCAAAACGCATAAAATTGATAGTACGCGAAAAAGGCCATTTGCACGGTGACGTCATTTTACTACTACGACCAGAATTCTTTTCGGTTTTCTTTTCATATTTAAATTTTTTTAGCCCCAGTGAGGTTTAAATAACAAAAGGCCTAATTTGCACGAGGAAGCAAAACCCTGAAGGATCCTGGTCATAGTAGTAAAATGACGCCATCATGAACCAACCTCGTTCCCAGGGTTCTCTCTCTCGCCCTGGGAACGAGGTTGATCACGTGCGTCACAGTAACTAGCTACATGCCTAGGCGGAGAATTCCCGCGCAAACCTTCAAGGGTCTTGTCTAAGGAAAAATTGCGATAGAGAGGTTTGATTTCTGGCAGACCTTTAGATCCGACGTACGAGGCGCTAACTATTAGACAGGCACGAACATCGAGCCTCAAGTTTAGTATTTTGATAATAAAGCGTCTTCATTGGTTAAATACTGAATTTAACCCACCTAAGAGTTGAATGCAAAGAATAATTTGTGATTCTGGGAGCCTGGCAGTCACTTTTCCACAGTTTGAACACATTTCACCCAGGATACCACTGTTCAACTCGTCAGCTTTTCGTTCCACACTTCTCACTGATGTTGTGTGACAGCCACAAATGTCACTTTTCCGTGTGGAAGGTCTTTGATTTATTTCAAGATTCTCATTTGGTTCGCCAATGGTTACAGCGTCCTCATCACGTTTCATCGTGACTGGCTCTTCGTCTGCCCATTTCTGCAGTAATCTCCATATGTTCTTGATTATTAGCTCATTGAAGACCCATGGCCAGCCGAGAACACAGGACAATAACTCAAGTGACTTGAGGAGCTCAAATGAATGTCTGTCCGCGACCAAAGTTCCGTCTAAATTTAACATAGACCACATTAAAAAGCAATTGGTTGAATGTAATCAATGATACTGAATGTTCGCAGGGGCGGATCCAGGATTTTTTTTAGGAGGGGGTGCACTCGTCTCTTGCTCTACTTCAACACCAATAAACCACATAGTTCTTTTTTTTTTTTTAAAAAAAAGAAACCGAATGTTCGAAGGGGCGGATCCAGGTTTTTTTTTAGGAGGGGGTGGCCTCGTTTCTTTCTCTCCTTCAAACACAAAAAAACCCATTGTTTTTTTTTTTTTTGCAGAATACCAGTTGTATTAAAAAACCGCAGGTCATCCCGGGGGGGGGGGGGGTGTGCACCCCCTGCACCCTCCCCCTAGATCCGCCCCTGGTTCGGTATAGAGAGCGGTCTTCCTTCGACTATCCGGAGACCAGAAGCAGAGCAATTTTTTTAGCCAGTCAGAACAAAGCCACGACCAATCTGAACTCGACGCAAATCTGAAGCATACTTAAACGCGGGAAAACGTGTACCTTTAGCTTACACGTGATTGGCTAAGAAAGTGGTAAGATATTTTTCAGCCAATCACAGTGTGCAACAATGCAAAACCAAAACTTTGGCGCAATCACTAATTAGAGGAGTGCCGTTGATTTTTTGGGCACGTTTCAAATAAGTAGATCAAGATTAACCACTTTTTTTCCAGCAGAAGAAGCAGTCTCTATACCCACTGTCACACCGGCAGCAATTTACTCCATCTTTACAGTCAAAACAGGTCAAGCGTACCCCCCAAGATTCTATTAATGAATTGATTATTTGAAAAATGAATCCGTTAGTCGTTCCCGTAACAAGTGTCAAATTCAAATCGGGATCCCTGCATGCGTAATGAGCAGTGAATAATTTACGAGAACTTGTCTGTATTTGGTCAGATTGAAAATCTTTGAATGAATTAAAATTCTTAGTCAAGAAGACATTTACATCAGGTTCAGGGAAACTGAACTAATAGAAATTTTGTAACTCAATCGCGTGTGAATTCACGGCTCATTACGCATGCAAGAACGTAGAGATGAATCTGAAATCTTCTACTGCCAACGGACTCAACTTTCGAATAATAAATTCATTAATGGCATTTTGGAAGGGTACGGTTGACCTGGCTTGACTGTAAGCCAATATTAACAGAGTTTATGCTGATTTTCACACTGAAACAATTTCCTTTTGGCACCATAACCTAAAATATGTAGGATCAGTCTCAGGTTTCTGGGAAGTTGCCCACCTACCCATCTCCTAAGCCAACGTTTTCAGTTCATTCTCACTTAGGGCAAAATGTTGTTGGCTTAGGGGAGGGGTAGGTGGGCAGTTTCCCAGAAAACTACATACGTTTAACTCTCACCTTCACCAATGCAGAAATTAGCCACTGTATCTTTATTAAGCAATTTTGAAAGCTGCATTCCAAAATCTTTGACTGTTTCTATGGTCACTGGTTCGTCTTTCCAAACGCAAAGCACTCGAAGAACGTTGCCAAAATCCGTCGCTGAGTTCGCCCAATACAACAACACAACCTTCAATGTACGAAGAATAAGCGACTGTTTCTCATCCGAGAAACGTGACGATGTTTTCAGCACTTCTGGCCAAACTGTTACCATGGAAACTATCAGCTCTAAGCCTGAATTCTGGTGTTTGTACAGCGAACGCATGACGTCATAACAGACAACTCGAATGCAACCGAGATCTTCTTGGATCTGACAACTGCCGGTCAAGACACGACTGGAAAACAGGAAAAGCAGGAAAAACTTCTTTTCATATTTGTAATACTGCACTGTTGTTAAACATTCGTTAAATAGAGAAAACAAGTGATATGATGACGGCAAAAGAGCTTCTTTTTGAAATTATGGCATTGATTGGCATATCCAGAAAGAACAAGACGAAAAATGTTTACCTACTAACAATCAGGCTGTTAGTGCAAATAGGTGAGGACATCTAAGCACCGTTACGCTGTGATGGCCCCATAAAAATTGTCCAAGCCAATTTTAGAAGGATTTGTATGGAGTCATCAGAGCAAAGCGCTGCTTATATCTCCTCACCAATTTGCACCAACAGGGTGACGTTTGCCAAGGGGGGCTATTTTCATTTTGTTCTTTCTGAATATCGTACCCAAGGCAAACCAATCACATAATTTCGCAAATTTGAATGTTAGTGACGTCACACCCTTTTCTTCTCTATTAATTAGGTACTTACCAAAGAGATAAGGTTCCTCTCAAATTGTCACCTCTAGAGTGACAGCAAGTTGTGATCAAACTCCGAGAACACAGCGTTACCATCTGGGAAAAAACGTTCCCAAATATGGTCTCACTGTCACGCAACTGAGTGAGTAACTCCAACAAACGTGCTTCAAAACCAGATTCAACAGGATTCCATTCCACAGAATCGCCATCTGGTTGAATTGCTTCAAGCTGGTTCAGAATTTCTGGCATCAAGTCATCCTCGCGCTTTTTAAGAAACTGAACAACAGCAGAACTGAAAATGGTACAAGAGGAGAGGCATTTAGCACTGGTGAGTCTCTCAACTACCACGCTCATTTTTACATTGTCGTCTCGTAAACGTACCAGACATTTTTCAACGTACTTATATTCAGATTGGTATTTCGGTCGGGTTGAAAGAGGCCGATATTTGCTGTCTTTTGGCTCAGCTGTGTTTGTTATGTTTTTTGCATTAGCTTTCTTCGGTACTGAGTGCTTATTTTCAGTAAGACTCTTTGATAGTTGTTCAAACGTATTGGCCAACATCGGTCCCTCATTGGTATCTATGTCCAATATTCCCTCCTTATTGGTACTGGTGGTCATTGATGTTTGAGCTTCCAATCCTTGCAACACAGAAGAGGTTTCTTGTGTTTGATTAACCGTTCTTATTTTTTTGGACTGAGAACCACTACTAACATCATTTCCTGATGATTCAGAAGTAGTTCGTTGAATGAGACGCTTCAGTGATTTTCGTTCTTTCAGATAAACTGGCTTCGACATCCCTGTTTTACTCTTAATTGTCTTATTCTTCTGTGAAAGGTCAGGATTGCAAGTTTTCGTAATATTTTCAGCTTGATTAATTCGCGATATTCTCCTGATACTCTTTGTTACAAGCTCAGTGTAACTCGATGTCAATTGTTGATGTTGTGTGGACGTTGCAATGTTCGTTGCGTTGCTGACGCATTCTTGCGTTTGCTTGCTGAAATCAGCGACAGAAGTTGAAGGTTTCGGAGACGATTTCTCCTCGAGAGAACAAGGCGACGGAGGGAGCGGTGAAAGAGGAGGAAAATCCCCGATCAAGTCCTCAACTGGAGAAACGCGACACATTTCGTCAACTGAGGGGCGTGGAGAAGGCGGAAGAGGGGATAAAGTGCGGAATTGATCCCCCAGAGCAACTCCAAGATGATCCATCAAAATGTTTATCGACAAATCGTCTATTACTTCAGAATGTATGTTTGCCTGCTCCTGCGAATCTACTTCATAAGGTGCGTGCAAAGATTTACTTTCTTGAAGTTCACTCTCTGTTCCAAATACACCTAATAAAGGAGGGGACATTTTCTCTATCACTTTGATTGTAGCTCCAACATTGGAAAAATCGCTGTCACTATCGTCACACATTCTATCTTCATTCGAAATTTCCTTAGCTTCCTGAGTAGCAACAGGGGGAAAGTCTATTATATTTTCTTCTTGCGAGTTTCTAGTTCTCGACAGCTCGGTCCGCTTCTCTTTAAACGAGCGCCCAAATTCGTTATTCAAAGTACTGCCCATCACTCTTTTTTTCACAGTGGTTTTGGAAATTCCAACTTTTCGCATTGAGTCTGAAGATCTCGTTGTCGGCATTAATGTAACTTTTGCTTGTGTCGCTGTAAGATCATGATTAAAATTGTCGATTGGCCTTTCAGCTACGGAGATCTTATCCTTTAACGTTTCTGAACTTGGCACGGACGAAGAATACATCAGAATGCCTTCCTTACAAGCCGAGGTACTGTCTTCCAAATGAGTCAGTTTAGCCGTTGCTGGAAGAATGGTAACGCTAGTCGAGCATCGTTCAATAGATCTTTCTTCTTCCGATTTCAATGAGAAACTTACAATCGTTGTGTTGGGCAGTGTCTCATGTGACATAGCAGCGGACCGTATCCCCTCCTTCTGAATAGGCAAACGCACTTCTTCAGGAATGTTTCGTTTACGTTCATTTTTGGATATGTTTTCAGCAGACGCTGAATCAGGAGATTCTTCAACGTCAGAAATTTGTAGATCATCCTCGAGATCTTCCGGAATTCCGATATCATCCTGGACATTTTCGGGAAATTCGATATCATCCACAACATCAGCGATTCCTATGTCATCCTCGCCAATTTCAGAATGTTCCATATCGGCCTCGACATTTTCGGAAAATCCCATGTTATCTTTGACAACTTCGGAAAGCCCGATGTTATCCTCGACATCGGAAATCCCGATGTCGTCCTCGTCATCTTTCGGAATTTTGATGCTATTCTCGACATCTTCAGGAGTTCCATTGTTATTGTCGCCCCGACGCTCTTCCTTCTGTTCTAGTATCCCATCATCCTTTTGTAATACAGATACACAAATGCTTTGATCAACACTACATTTATTGGTATCCCATAATAATACCTCCTGGCTCACTTCACTCACCAAAAATGTGTCGTTTTCTAGAACGGATGTACTCTGAGTGAACTGATTTCTGAGTTCGAATGAAGATTTTTCTCCAATGTTATCTTTTTCTTCCACTGTTGCGTTTGTTAAGTCGTCATTTTTGATACCCGACTCACAAATTGAAGGACTATTCCGAATCTGGCCATTGTCGTTGCTAATTCTTGTTGTCAAGTTTTTGTCGTTGTTACTGATGTGGGAAGTGGTGGTGGTGTGATCGTTGTTGTTCGCGATGATAGTAGGGGAGCTTGAGTTATTGTTGTCGCTGTTACTTACTGTAATGTAGATGTCCTTGTCGTTGCTCTTGGTGATAGAAGTGGCGATGATCTTGGTCGTGTTGTTGTTGTCGGAGCTGGTGATGCTAGAACGGTTCTTGATGTCGTTCTTATTGCTATCGGTAGAAGCGATGTTCTCGGTCTTATCGTCGTTATTAGAGATGCTGGTACTATCACTGCTGTTGTTATTGTCTTTGATAATCGTAGAGGCGATATTGATGGATTTTTCTTCATCAATAGATATGTTGTGGTCATTGGGACTGGTAGTGGTGGTGGTGGTGGTTGTGTTGTTGTCGACAGCGGCGTCCAGTTTAACCACAGCTATATTGGAGGCACTCTCACTAACAACCTCTTTTTTCATACTTGAAAGCGAGGCTGCTGGGTGACCAAGCTCCTCGATGTTTGAATTGCGGTAAGCGGCACCAGCGATCTGACCTCCCTCTTCTGCAAAGACGTCTGGGTCACTTTCCTTTAATTTGTCCGATTCATAAGTGTTTGCTGTTGCAACTAATTTCTTACCCTTCGTCGATTTCCGATTATGTTTTAACTCAGTATCTAAACTCTCCGCAACGTATTCCGGGCAAGAAGCTTGACTAGAATCCGCATCTTCCCCAGTCTCCGGTTCTGTTGCGCTGTCACCATCGGACGAGACACTGAGTTTCATCGCCTTGGCTCTGGAACGAGTCATGACAAGTGACGTTGGTGCGGCCACACGGCGCTTTCCCTTTCGCTGCGCGGCTGTGAATTTGGGCGATAACTTGGAGGCTACTTCGGGTTTGACGTCAATCCAGAGGTCTCTCTTTTCAGTCTTCGCATCGCCGGCCCAAGAACCTCCGGAAAAATGTTCGTCTTTTTGATTCAAGATACCACTTTGTCCGAGACATAATTCGTTTTCAGAAATTCTTTTTTCTAAATTAGTCTGAACTGCGAAGTCCGATAAAGACATACTTTCAGAGGTACTGAAGTCCTTTTGTGTATGTTCAGCTAAAGATTCATTGTGTTCAGTTCTTTCATTATCAGCATTGCTATTTACACTCGTTGAAACTTCAAAGTTCGAGATGGATTCTTCGTCACAAGCTGGAGAACCAATTGATGGCCCTTCAGGGCTACCTATCAATTCACCAGCCTCAGTACTCTCGCCAATAATCATGTCCGCAAGGTCACCTAAACTTAAACCACTTTCTCCGTCATCGCTTCCGTTCCCATCATCCTCTTCTCCACTATCAACGTCACTCTCTTCTGAGGAGCTGCTATTTTCCAGTGTTTCTCGGTCAGGACTTGGCGGAAGGGGGCTGAGAGTGAGACTAATATCAGATAACCCTTTTAGCTCCTCTAAAACATGTGCCATGTCCTGATTTGGATGAAGGAATTCCGATTGGTCATCGTTGGTTTCGTTGCAGAGTTGAGCTGGTAGTCGAAGTTTAAGTTTTTGCCTGCAAAGAAGAAATAACACGGTAACAAACTGCGGGAGAAAATGTTTTAACAACGAGAGTCTGTAACTAAAAGAATTTACTAATCATCTTGAAAATTACTACACAAACTCCCCTGTAATATGGCGGGTACAGGTTGTTACAGTGTCGTAAAAGATCAGCTTCCTTGGTGTTCAAACACCGAGCTTAAAATTTGGCATCTTTCATTCTTTCACCACACATTGCGACATCGACATTACTGATCCTAGCAGTATGCAGGACGCGTGTCAAATATGAACCTAGTACATGGCCTCGCTCTCCATGACTTCTCCGCAGTTCAAGTGGATAGAATGCCCGCCCGGTGTTTGGGAGGTTATAGGTTCGAATCCTGTCAAGGACTCAGATTTTTTTTTTGTCCCAGCCTCGTGACCTGCTGATCATTCCATTTTCACATTTGTTTCACGGAGCTTAAAATTTACCATCATTCATTCTTTCACAACCAATAAGGTACCATAAAATTCCGAAAATAAGCCCCGGGGCTTATATTTTTCAAAGGCCCTTTTTGAGGGGCTTATTTTTGGAGGGGCTTATATTCGGAGGGAAATTTGCGTTTCAAAATCGATTGGGCTAGCTTTATGGTTGGAACTAAATTTACCGTTTTTGCTTTGTTTTACTTTGTATTTGAGAGCAATTTTCCAAGTACAAGCCCCCGGGGGGCTTATATTTGGAGGGGCGATTTAACGGAGGTTTTTTTGCGTTACCGGTTTGGGGGGCTTATATTTGGAGGGGCTTATACATGGAGGGGCTTATTTTCGGAATTTTACGGTATTCAGATACACTACCTTGTTTTACTTGCTCTCGCTGTACCACATATGTTTTCATCAAGTGTTCTCGCTGCATTGGGAAATGAAAGAATAAGAATATCATCATCGCCTGCTATCAAAACAAAAAATGCAAAAACAAATCACACCACAACTCACCCAAATCTTCATCAAGCTTTGAATTTTCAGCTTCCTCCTGTTTACGACAAAAGAGGTAGAGTGAGGAGCTTTGTTTACTCGCCACATGTCACCCACTGCATATGACACAGGAAAACCACGGTGTATTCCCTAGCTATTGCTAGTTGAAACGCTCTCCTTGGCGTTTCCACTGTTCATAGTCCCCTATTTTTCCGTAAGATCGTCGGGAATGAGCACCTACCCTTACAGGCAGCCATATTGGTTTCAAATGTACCTAGTCTAGCTTGTGAATATCAAAGCTACATGAGGTGATATACCATTAAAAAATGTATCAAAAACAGTCAAATGTTTTCAAAAAGGAGCAAGGTTTTTTTTCTCAGAGAACAACACAATAATGGAGGACATCAAGAAGTATTATTTTGACCTCCTCGCCTCAAAACTATTATTGGCCAAAGTGAAAAATAAGTTCTTGTTTGTTTGGTGTTTCATGTAAACCCTACTTTTGCAAATCTTTTGTTTCTGTACGATTTGCACGTGCAAGGCATGAGCTCCAAAACGACAACAACAAAAAAAATGCTGCAAAAGTAAGGTTTACATGAAGCACCACCCAAACGGCGTTTTAAAGCATCCCACTCTGGCCTATTGTATGTCTCGATTAAACACCGATTTCTGAAGAAACAGTTACAAATAGGCAATTATTACCTTGAATTTCTTAAGTTGTTGTTCGAGCTGCTTGATCCTTCTGTTAGCCTGCGTCAGTGATTTGTTTATTTCTCTATTTTTTCCTATAAAGTGAACATATTAAACAAGTAAAACTATGACCAAAAATAATAATAATAATAATAATAATAATAGTAAATAGAGGATATTACATGGCCGCGCGGAGATACGAAATTTTTCTTCGAGTGTTGAAAAATATTTCAACAGAAATATTTTCAACACGAGAAGACACATTTCGTATCTCCAAGCGGCCATGTAATGTTCTATTTATTATATAAACACCAATGAAATACCAAACCATTTCACTGAAACAGTTTTATCCTGCGGAAGGCGCGATTTATTATGTAGCCATAGCAACGGTGATATTCTCACATGTGAAAATAACATGTTATTTTCACGCGTGAAGATATCATGTTTTCGCGCGAAAGCTCACCTGGTATTTCATCGGTGTTTATATAATAATAATAAATATGTACATAGTAAGGCTGACACTAACCTTTCTCTTTTTTAAGTTGCTCCTGTATCTTGGAAATCGCTGTCTCGTTTTTCTCCAAACTGTTCAAAAAGACAGGGAATGAATTCAGAATGAAATTACCGATAACAGAGTATCAAAGGGACAAACGCTGGATTTTGCGGAGTGCTCTTCTTTATAAACTTTCAGTGGCCCGTGTTGACCAGAAATGTAGCAAGAAGCAGACGCCAATAAGTCATTTCCAAGTTCATAAAACTATCACTTTCAAAACGAGGCTAAGTGCAAAACCTTTCTTGTGAAAATGAATTTTATTTACATGAGAATAAAAATTCACTGATTTTTACATCAATGGCGTCGCACTTAGCCTCGCTTTAAAACAGACGCTAAGAGACACTCGGAAATGGCTTTCTCCTCGTGAGAATGGACCCTTCGCTTCGCAAGTCTATGCATCCATTTTAAAATAAATTATACTGAAAAAAAAAAGAAAAAAAACTTAACGTCATCAAAACGTCAGAAATACCAATCGATTCCAGTCTTTGATATGTAACCCATTGATCAGGGTTGCCACTCAACAGAAACTAAAAAATTCCCTCACTTAACCCAGACCTCTAAACAATTTTCACTGACCAGTGCATTAGGCGATTTATAATTTTAAAAAAAATCCACGTAATTCCTGTCTTCATTTTCAAAATCTCTAAGCTTTTCACATGGAAAATAGAATTCCCTGACAATATCAAAGATTTTCCCGAACTTTTAATAAAAGTCCCTAACTTTTCTGCGACCTTGCAAAATTTTTCTTTCTTCTGACTTCTTCCTGACCGTAGACTTTAAAAAAGTCCTTTGTCCGATTTAACGGTCTTGCCAAGTCTATAAAAAGCTCGCTCCACTCCCTTAGAAACTCGTGAGGTCGACGAGTGGGAAGTCTACCTCGATTGTGACAACCCCGTTGAAGTAGCGCTTACCTTTTCTTTTGGATTTGGAGCTCCTTCGCTTGTACCTGTTTTTCCAACTGCAATGCAGATTCCTGTTCACTTTTCAACTTTACTGAGTTCATCAACTCCGCATTCAATTTCTGCAAAGCAATTTTTCCAGAGACAAAGCCAGCTTTAGCCAATCAAAATCCGCGCAGGTTTTGAATGAGCCAATCCGAGCAATTGCATGCAGCAGGCGACAAGCGCGGGAAAACGCCAGCGACGAATCACGCTTTTTTTCACTTCTGATTGGTTGGAAAAGTGGCGCGAAGGCGTTTGGCCAATTAAAAGCGTAGGGGAATAGTTTCTTCGTGTTGCGGATGGCGCGATATCCAAATGACGTTACACTGATGAAATATTAAAAAAAAAGAATAATATTGAAACTATAAAAGAATAACTAACCAAAAATGGTTTCCACAACACCCAGAAAACCCCGAGTAACACACAACCATATTACAGCTATTGTGAAAGTTATTTTAGACAAGTCAGTGAACGTCGCTGCATGACAAAAGAAACGGTCGACAGCTGCAGAGACATGGATAACCAGAAACTTACATGTAGCATAAGACACAAGATTCTTCTCTCTACTTTCTGGCAAATTAGTCAAGAGTGACACTACAAGTCAACATGAACATTACAGATGTCGCGTAAGTTTTGCCTTTAAGTTGGTTTCATTTTGTCCAGCAAACGCTAATCGTTCATAAAACATCACTTTCTTTCAATCTTTCAAGAATACATACCTCAAGGTTCAGTACTTTTTCTTTCATATCTGATACATTTGAGTCAGCCAAACACTTTTCCCTGTGCAATCTTGCCACATTCTGCAAACAACACAACAGTACAGAGACAATAGTTAGGGAACTTAACCCTTTGAGCCCAGATATCTACATATAAATTCTCCATACTGACCTTCATACATTTCCTTAAAAAAATAGTTGAGAGAGTTTGATAACAGATCAAAGCATTTTTTCTTTGGTGATCATTTTATTAACTCTCATAATCATTTCTCTTGGCAACATATGGATATTGTTAGGAGAAAATTGATGTTGGTCACTATTGGGACTTCAAGGGTTAAATAATGAACGCACAAACGGAGAGCATTTTCTTGTTACCAGAGCAATTTGAAATTGAGAGTTAAAAGTAATTACGTACATACTTTGTTATGATTGGCTAAAAAATCTCACCGAACTTTTTCAGCCAATCACTAATCACGACTTGTTTGCTTGTGTTTACACGGTGTTGACGTCGCATGCATGGATCAGCCTCAAGATGTGATTGGTTCATTTGAATATGTTAAGTCAGTTTGTGTTGTGATAATTGGCCAAAGTAATGAGTAAGATAACACTCAATTGAAAAGTTCTCAATTACACGTGGACTGCAAATTGCGCATGCGCACTAACCTTTCTTAACGGCTCAGTGGATTGTAAAGCTGCCGTAAGCTGATTCTGCAAGGCATCAATTTTGCTGTAAAGCAAAAACAGACAATATATGTGATAAAATTGAAGACAAGGACAAAGTGATGACAACTGCGAATTGTTCTCATCGATTTTAAATTTGACGCAATCTGTCGGCGAAGTTTTTTTATGAGCGAATGCGCAAATGGTTTTGAGCGGAACTGTAAGAGAAATGTAGCGTGGTTTCGTTGTATGCAATGATCCAACATGTTATCGCCTTTACGCTTACTTTCACTTTAAAACTCGGTTCAGTTTATAATTACTCAAATCTGCCATTTATACTTTCAAATCTAAGAATGTAAAATCTTGAATGGAATAAAAATACCAAGGAATAATACTAGTTGTGCTCCTGTTTGCTTTTCCATAGGTCGCAAAATACCTCAGGACTATTCCAATAACATACACACCTTCGATATGAACTAGTTGATCAGCATGGGTGTGGGGTGGGAGGGGGGGAGTGGTATAGGCTCAAATAAAAGCAATATTGTGTACAACAAATTCTTCAGTAATAACTCACATCTCGGCTGCTTCTAACTTTACTGTGAAGTCTGTGGCCTGTTGGAGATTTTTCTCTGATTCTACAAGAAGTGAAGGAAAGATCTCATCTTTACAGTGGTTTTAATTTAATTGCAAGAGCACAAGGAGCTAAAGAAAGTAAAAATAGCCAAGGTCATTACTGATTACAAAAAATTGAGTACCATAAATGAAAACCCGGAGAAAAAGCCCTAAGGCAAACGCTTTGAACATCACCTTTGGAGCTGACTCGTCCCCAGTCGTCTTCGCGTAACGCGCTCGGCGGGTGCAGGGGGTGATGGGAAGAGAGAAGAGAGGAAGCCTCTCTCTCTCTCTCTCTCGCTTTCCTCCTTCCCATCAAACCCCGCGCGCTACTAGGGAAAGATAGTGAGAGACGACTGAGGACGAGTTAGCCTTGGGAGTGTGTCCACTGATTAGTTTGACTCGAAGAACAGGAAGTGTTAGCAAGAACAGGAAGTGTTAGCATTTCACTTCTGGAAAACGTTACGGCGACATCGCTCTTCGGCAGAAATTTTGACCGGTGCTATTAGTTTCTTACCATTTTATGCAAAGAAATCTGATCTTTTAAAAATTTCTTTGGCCACTATTAGAAGTGAAATGATTAGGAAAAGAGTTCATCTCCCACATGTATTGGCCTGGCTTGACGTGCGTGCAACACCCATAAACGACTGTATCCGGACGGCCTCACGGATTTTTCTTGCGTAAACGGCCGTTGCCATTTTTAGAACACTTCAAATGTTTTTGGCCTGTTATTGAAAGTGTCGCTACTAAAAAATAAGAAAGAAGTCCGCAACCCAGAATCGAGTCCGGCCCTTACTAACTTATCTCTTCCACTCTGACCCGCTAAATTTTTGAAAACATTCAAGTAAACTCCCGGAATCTAAGTCATATTACGATAAACTGAATTTTATGCATAAACTGACAGATTCGTTAACCCGACCACCGGCTGGTAAACAAGCCTATATAATAGGTGCCCCTAGCCCATTACCAAACTTTTGACGTAAATTCATCTTGGGCTTAAACATCGGCATTTTTAATGTACTATATTGTAACTTAATCGAGAGAATATATAACATCTACCACAACTAAAAGCCTTGTTATCAATATATGGTGGTATCGATCGTTAAAAATGGCAATTCATTAACGCACGCTTACGAAAGAAAAATATGCAATTAAGGCAATATACCGAGCACTAAAATGCTAAAAGTAGCGAATCGACCCATCATTTCCTCTCAAAAATTCGATTAAGGACGGATTCCAGTCTCGTTCCGGGGGTCATCCATGAGAGAAACCTGGTAACAAGGTTAGGAGAGATACGATTATCACAGATTTATCACAGGCGTCTGTTTTGCCATTCCCTAAAGGGTGTTAAGCACGGAACGCTGTGAAATAAAATCGATTTTTTTGAGTTCATTGCACATTATTGATCATGATGTCAAAGCCAGAAAATATTTGAGAGCGCGCAGAATATTAAGAAAATTTTCTGACAGATGAGAAAACAAATAAACGAATGGAGAAAAGCAAATATGTGCTAGATTCGTAATGGGAGGAAATTTTATCTCGAAAAGAATGATAGAATGACATTTGCGTTTTAAGAATGCGAAATAAGGTATCTTATCCTCGATTTATCATCCTTGAGTTTAAATGAAATACTGATTACGAAGGTAATTTGGACGGATAAATTTATAATAAATAAAAAATAAGAAAAAGTTTCGACTAACTGCAACCAACACTTAGTTTATTTACTCACGTAGAGTCAAATGAACTCTGCCTCCGACATTTCAGGAAACATCTCGATATTATAAAACCCAAATTAATAAATTGAATAATAAAAAATTTAAAGAGAAACATTGTATTGTAAGTTGATTTCACTGCAATTCATACTGGCACTTATTTTCTTGTAAGTTATCACGGTATAATATTGTCGAGATCTCCTTTTTCCAGAAATAGATAAAAGGCCATATTGTAAAGGCAATATTGGTCATTAAATGGACGTACTTGAGACTAGATTGACAATTTCGCGAGAGATATTTACCCAGCTAAAATCAATCTCCTTAAATTCGATAAATAGAGGACAATTTAAGCGAAGTCATTTTGAGGCCAAATTTTCATCGCATTAAGGGACTTTCGTCCATATGGTAGGATTTGTTTTATATGAAGGCTTCCAACTTCAAGCCCAGTATGTCTTCTCTTCTCCTCAGTATGTCTCCTCTTCTCCTCATAAACCTCGCCATAAACGTTCCTTTGATGCTGGTAGCTACAATGGGTAACGCTTTAATACTTGCCGCTATATCAAGAACACCTTCGCTGCGCACGCCGTCCATACTTTTATTGGGCAGCCTCGCTGTTTCAGATCTTCTAGTTGGTGTTGTTGTACAGCCACTATACATTACAAGCGGCTTAGTCACATCGCTTCCTCTAGATAGTATATGGTTTGTCCTGTCTTTCGCCACATGCGGTATTTCTCTGTGTTCGATAACAGCCATAAGCGTGGATCGACTCCTCGCTCTCCACTATCATTTGAGGTATCCTACAATCGTGACCGCCTCTCGCATCAAGATCACTCTAGTACTTATGTGGATTGCGATTTTCTTATTGTCAGGAGTATACTTCTGGAGCATGACTGTATATCTTTTTATTATAGCACTAGGTGTTTCCCTTTGCCTCACAATTTCAACATGCTCTTACATAAGAATATTTACAATCGTTCGCCGCCAGCAAAGAAAGATCCAGTGTCAGCGACAAGCGATAAACTCCCTAAACGAGAACACACGTATCATCTCAAATATGCAGCAATTGAAAAAGAGTGCGATGAATTCTTTTCTGTTCTTTATTGTGATAGTACTCTTCTACTTGCCAATGTCGACGTTTTTGTCACTGTATCTCTTGGAAAAAAATTGGCACAAAGGGTGGAGTTTTGCCACCACGCTGGTTTTCATGAACTCATCCATAAACCCGTTTCTGTATTGTTGGCGAATGCGTGGCCTTAGAGCTTCAGTGGTGAAGACAGCGAGAAAACTGTTTTGTAAACAATGAGCAAGTAAATATTTTGAAGAAAGCAAATTGTTTGTCTTGGTTTCCATGCGACAAGACTGGTGAGCCAGTTACGCTTAGTCAACCTGTTCACTCTTATCACCACAATGACATTACATCAACGGCAGTTTCTCCTTTTTTGCTCTTGGACGAAAAGAAAAAGATGTGATGAGAAGTGTCTTTTAAGCGATAATTTCCTTGGTCCCTACTGACCAGGAAAAATAGTGTACTGTACACAGCTTTCTACACAGAAAGGCTTTGTCAAACAAAAAGACGTTTACAAAAGTAAAATGGCCCTTACGACCTTCAACCAACTGCAATTTCTTACAGCAAACTAGGACACTTGAATTTGCATATCAAGTCTACACATGGACGTTTTAAGTTCAGCAATGCTCTTGTGTGGCGCCAAGAATACTAAATTCTTATGAAAACTATAAACTTACAGTTAATACAGCTGGTGACAAAAATTCACGGCCAATGGATCGAGTTAAAATTTGACTTGTTTTGAACGTAGCAAAATCATGTGGAACCCAATTGCTATCTTAAAAAATTGTCTTCAGCAGAGTATGTTTTAGCCTGAGCACAGTACAAAACAGATGGAAATTAGCTGTTAAGCCATTACACTCAACTCTGAGAATACGTTGCTCTCTTCATCATGCATTATTGTGCAGCATAAATATCAATTTGCCCTCGTCAACTTGTAAGATAAATTTTTTCTTTGGTTTTACAACGTGCCCCATCAATGCAACACCACTGTCTCTTAGATTCATGAAACAATTGATTATAAAAAAAATTTCATTAATAAAACAAATAAACAGCACCCTTCTTTTGAGCATGAAACATGCAATTACTGTTAAATATGATCGTTTTCATTGCCTTAAATGTGACAAACTTCAAAGGTGGACACATGCTGCAATTAACATGTAGCATTGCACAAAATATTACAACTTGTGCCTGGATTTAGGCTGTTCACAGTCTCCTATTTTTTTGTAAGATCATCAGGATTGAGAGCTTACCGGTATGGGCGGCCATCTTGGTTTCATATGTACCGAGGGGGTGGGTATCAGGTTTAAATCATTGGGGGGAGGGAGGGAAGGAAAAAAGCTCTTTTTTTTCTCCCTTCCTTCCAAACTGTCCGCTGACCTCTAAGTAGATTTGACACTCATCCAAGATGGCTGCCCATAATGTAAAGTGCTCAATCCCAACTTACGGGAAAATGAGGGACCATGAACAATCTATTCTGGATTAAGGCCATTGTGACTAAAGTTACCTAGCTGTAAAAGGTACCCCTTTCTAAATGAATAATAACTGCATATACTAAGAGACTAAAACATAAGTAAAAACTATTAAAAGGATACCAAGACATTTCTGTTGGTATTTTCTTATCAGCTCACTAAAAACGAAAAAAAATATAAATACTGATAAATATCATGACACCGTGGGGGCCAACACTATATGCTTTAACATGGAACAGTGTCAGCCTTTTCTATAAGAATCCATATTTATAAGGATGTGTGTATGTGAAGAGTACAAAGAACAGTGTGGAAAATGGTCTAACAGGGTTTCTGAATTTTCTGAGCAAGACATCAACTATGCAATCTAGAAAAAATGCCACACCCCTTCCTCTTCATCCAAGAAAAGGGATGTCAGTAAGGGCTGCTGGCAAGGAATTTCCTGCGGCAACCTACGAGCATGATCTTTGGCTACTTTCATATGAATCTGATTCTGTACACCACACATGTTAGTGACACCCTTGCTAGAAAAAAAATACCAGTATAACAACAAAAGCAGTAAGACTAATGACAGTGGTATTTATTGTACAAAAGGCTGTGCTGTAACAGTCCCCACTGGCCCCTGCCACCTAACTATTGCTCCCAGGGGACTAGAAAATCCTTGAATATACCTTAGATTTTGCGGCTTCAGATTACTAGGCTTCCTTCAATTTTTCTTAAAAAACTGCCTTGGTACATGTAAAACAAGAGATGTCTACCTACTCTGTGGATATAATCTTTTCCTTGACTATTTTCAGCGTCAGTGAATGTTCTTTTTTTGAAGCCTCAAGAGCCTGAAATGAAAGGAAAATTAGTAAAAATTTGAACAGGACTGCAAATTGTTGTTGCCACAATATCACTATGTCATAACTGCTTTTCAATTGGAGGCCTAAAATGAGTGGAATTCCATAGTAATAATTATAACTGTGGATCTGCAAAAGAAATAGTATTTTTGGAAGGTTCTTTCAAAAGAGGTTTTACTTGAATGGTATCACCATAAAATTTTGTCCACATTATGGTAAATAATCTTGGCACAACATGTTCCCCAAGTGAAAAGATAAATCATTATTTTAATTAAGTATGCCTAGTAATTTTAATTATTTTACACCCTGATTTTTGTTTAGATAAGTTAGTTTTTTCAGAAGATCACAATCACCTAAGAGAAGCCTACAGACCTGCTCAACAAATAATAATTGGTATTATTATTCATTCAAAATATTTCCCCGATTCTGATTGGCTAAAAGCACACGTTTAATTCACCATAACCAGTTACTGATGACCAAATTTGGAAGAAATTTGACTTTAACGAGGAAATTACGTCAAAAATGCAGCGTTCGTACAGGTTAAGGCACCGTTAACCAAGAGGACCTGGGGACGAGGTTGAGTTGTTTTGGTTGTGAACTTGAAAAAATGGCGGACATTTCACTCGTTTCAAGAGTAAGAACTAGGCGAAAAAATAGCTAAAAATATGGCAAGAACAGCAAGAAGACAATTCGAAGGGCGACATCTGCTATTTGGAGAATATTTGCGGAGCTGGACAAACCTAAACGTGCACTATCGAAGATGAACTGAACATCGATGGATCGATGGAGGTAAGCATGTTTTAGCTATGTTTTTAAACTAGGAATTATTTTGAATGAATAATCAAACAGTTATTGAATTCGGCTTTCGTATCATATGAAGAATTATGGAGATCTCGGAGGGTGTTATCCGTCGAGGCCGTACCCTCCTCGATCTCCATAATTCTTCATAAGATACTCAGCCTCATTCATTAACTGCTAAATATCTGCTCTAGTGCTGGATCCAGACCCTGAGATGGGGGGGGGGGGGGGTCCCCCCGCCCTTGAAGAAGGAGGGGGGGGTTGCCAAAAACTTTTTTTTGGCCCTTCTGGCTTCAGTTTGGTCTAAAAAAAAGGGGGGACCTAGGCCCTCCCCCTGGATCTGCCACTGTGCTCTTAGGTTAAACCAGTATTTAACCTTGTTTGATTGAGAATTTCCTTTGCTTCATAGCCCCAATTATTCATAGAAGACAAAAAAAATTCCGTTGGCATGAGAATGAATTTCACATGCACCAGTCACACCCTCATGGGAATGGTCCACAGACCTTGTCTCCTCCCCCACAATTTTTGACATGGACCAATACAGGAGCTGGCTCCTGACCAATAGACCTTTTCACGGTTTATGATGCCATCTTGGCTGGAGGGGCAAACAAAACCAATCGCACCATACACTGGATAGAGATTTATCCAGTGGATAGCGTTATCCATCTGTTAAATAACTGGGCCCAGCACTGCTGGAAAAAACCCTTAAATTCAGTATATTTGCCAATTTTTTTGTTGAAAACAAATGAAGATATGGTCTGCAAAATCGTGAAATTTTTCATAGATGCTTGTATAGTGGAGCCCCAGTTTGTGTCCCCCAATATACAAATATCAGTCTGTAAAATTTTGCAGAGTTTTATCTTTGCTGGCTTCAGATGACAAGTTCACGAATTTGAAGGTGCTCTTAAGCTTTCCAGTGGTGTCACTGGAAATTCGCATTCCCTAATAAAAAACCAGGTTTCAATCAAAATTGCAAAAAATGAAAGGGTCTACATTCGCATTTAGCATGAACATGCACTTCTCAAACTTGTTTTACAGTATTTTAGACCTCTTTGTGTTAATCAACACACCTTGAAATCGCACATCAGTAAATTTAAATGTTGAGCTGTGATCAATCCAAGGGGGGGCTGAAAACATGTTTTTTCGTCATATATACAACGCAAAAAATTAAGTACTGTCAAGGCCTTTTTTTTCTTAAAAGATTGTTTAAATCGTTAGGTATGCAGCTACAACGCAATAAATCGTTTTCTTGACTTGTCGTAAGTGAATATCAGAATCATAACATTATGTTGGCGTTTCAAACACCGTATGTTCGAAACGCTGCTAGAACGTTGTGGGAACGTGGAAATCTTGTAAATATGTGTTACAAACCTCCCGTAGTTTTGCACATGAAGAGCAAGAAGGACGGCTGGAACTAATATCTTCTGTATCAGTCATTTTCGTCGCCAAAATTGAGGATTAAAAGGACAAGACATTCAATGACAGTTCATAAAAACATCACCTTGCAGCTCGCCGTCCGCCATGTTGAGGTGAAATGGAGTGGAGACTGGTAACTGGTGACCGAGGACAATCGCCAAAAATTCGCCGTAAACGTGATCCTTATCCCTAAACCAATTTTGCTAGTTTTCGACACTTCTTAAAAGACAGGAAATAGACCCGTGTACGATTGAGCGGCGTTATGTTATGGTTCCTGGCGGCAAGTGAAACCTGCGATCAGGTCTTTTGTCTTCTCTTCTTTCTTTCTCTTTTTTTCGAGGAGAGAGGGGAAAACATGAAACACTTCACCTCATGTACTTTGTGTGTCCTTGCTACTATTTTTCCTATCCGATGGCATTTCATCGATTTCTTTCTGCCAAACCTTTAAAAAAAAAACAGGAAGCAACAGGAACACCCCAAGTAAATGAGGCCAAAGTACTTTTTGCTCAGGGTGATACACATGTAGCTGCTATAAGAACCAGTAACGGGACTCCAACTCCCATACAAATTCTTTCCGAAATCCTTTTAAATGTTATTCACGGCCATTTTTAGATTACGCAATATTTTTACCACACAAGTCAATGGATAATACTACTACTCCCACTGGAGCTTGGGCTGCCTGTGGAAAACAGTTATGTAGCAGCTCTCGAAAGCCTGTATCTGATTGGCTACATTCATTTAATGGGTAGCGAGGGTAGCGTGTTTTATGATTGGCTAATGCAGATAAAGATTGTCACTTAGATGTCATCGCATCCGGCTTGTTATACCATTTCACTTGTGTTTTTCGTTCAAATTACAGGGGCACCCAACGACAATTTTCGGAAGAATATCTGTTCGGAAGACGATTTGAGATCTAGAATTTTCGAAACATTTATTGTAAAATTTCTTGCTTGCCTGCCTCTCCTGGGATTTTCGAACACCCAAAAAATGGTATATTTGCCTATTTTTAACGGATTTTTACCCTAAAAAGGTCGCCTAGAATTTTCGGAAGCCTTTTTTCTGGCTGAAATTTTCGAAAAGGTAAGTTTTGATCCCTATAACTTTCGGATGGCTAGACTTTCACCTAGGAAATCCGAACAGATGAAAAATTTTTAGGAGATAAAAATATGCCTATATCTACCGTTTAAATACTAAAATACGTTTAACAATGCTATGTTTTAAGTGGTTTTGAACGATATTCTCGTTGGGTGCCCCTGAAGTTAGGTGGCATGCAAAATAATTACACAGCTATATAGCTCTATATCGAGAGGGGGATTTCGGCGTTCATTCATGTAAATCACAAAAGACAATTAGCCTGGTCAAGAGGTAGTCAGCTGAAGCTTTGATTTTCACCTCATATTCTTTATGGTTTGTAGGTTATCCCTTTATAGTTACTTACCCAAAATTGTAATGTTGTACACGTGTTCTTACTATTGTTGTGTACCTTTTTAAATACAGTGCTAAAGGTGTAGTGCAGTGCAAATCCAAACCAACGGGTGGTAAACAATTACGGAGGGAAAGAGTTAGCCTGTGTAGAATACGAACACATACCGAGACGGACCATTTTATTTAAGCTTATTAGGCTTAAAAGTTATGAGGGCGGGCGACGTAAAAAAAAAAGTAAATGTAATGGAAAATTAACTAAAATATAAGAGAAATGTCAAAGAAGAACAATTAACCAGCTCGAAAAAAAAACCCTCTCCCGCCGACGTTTCTTCCCTTGTTTGCTCACAAAAGTAAAAAATAACAAATGCCGATATCAAGCTGTTGACTGACAAAAGTAGTTGGCCTGCATCCCGTAAGTCAACTCATTTTGTTGACAGATAAAAGCATTCTCTCAAAGCTTAAGTCACGTTTTGAATTCTACATCACAGTCAAGCAAACGAAAGTTTGACAGTACACGAAGGTCATTTAGGGTGCATGTACTTACTTATGTACTTACTCTTAATAAAGTTCTTCTTTAAAACACGAACGTTGATCGTTTTTACCACTGACTAAATTTTTTTTTAGCGCGTGGATATCATTGACCTTTGAGGGGGGGAGTGGGGGCAGGTGATTTCAAAAATTCACGCTGAAAAACAACAACAACAATAACAACTAAGAGTTTGCTTGAATAAAAATATCGGGGATCAGACAAGTATATTCCTTTTGAATACGGGGCAGAAAGGATAATTCAAATTATTAATATAGATCGGTGTTTATTTCCTGATAAAGAGAAGAGCCTGATTTAAGATTTAAAATTGTAAAAACATGCCGACCTCTTCCGGCTTCGCCTGTTTAGAATTTTTGTCTTGCTGCCACAAATATGCAGACACACTATGGTTGTTGTTCGCGGATCATCTGTTTATTCCAATTCAGATTGTAATATATGACTTAATAAATTAAAGAAAACGTAAAAGTAAAATACACATGGATCGGAAAAAATCTGGGTTGGGAAAAACCCGGGGAAAAACATCAAGATTGCGTGACAACTTTATTTGCTTTCGTATGACGCTGCTTGTCGATCTGTCAAGACCGTCAAGACCCAGGGTGTTAGATTCCAAGGTCGCGAACTTAGGGCGCGTAAATATATGTTTCTTCGGGAATAAACATCGACAACTGGCAGTCACCGTTAGCGAGATTAGAAATGTTCTGGAGATGCTTTCTTGTAGGAGGAATTTTCTTTCAGCTTCTTGTCAAAGCAAGGCCATCTAGTGCATTGCGGAAGGTTGAATTAAGCGACGTAAAAGCAGTTTGCAATGACAATTCACGCGCGGTATTCTACATCAAACATGGATCGCCAAAACAGTGGATTTTTTTTTTCGAAAGTGGTGGACTGTGTTCGTCAAAAGCTGAGTGTAACGAGAGGTATAAAGACAAGAACTCGTCGGTGTTAATGTCATCTAATTCACTTCCAGAGAGTGTTGTTGGAAGAGACATCTTATCATCATCGATAAGCGAAAACCCAACATTTTACAAGTACACACATGTGCTAGTGCCATATTGCAGCAGTGACCTATGGCTCGGAAACTCAACAGGCCTTAACAGAACCTTCAAATTTGTGGATGATTCTTCTGCCAATAATTTTATTTTCAGAGGAAAAACAATTTTTCAAGGGATATTCAAGCAGTTGAGTCCAAAAAATGCGGAACACATCGTGGTTTCAGGATCTAGCGCGGGCGGAATAGGGGTTATGAACAACGCAGAATGGCTTTCAAACCTGTTCCATGGGTCCAAAGTCAAACTTAGGTTTATTATCGATTCAGCTTGGTTTATAAATTTTCAAGACGGCTTTACATCCAGAGTTAACATGGAATTTCCCCAGTTGACTGGTACTTCTTCTAGTGCATGCGCTGATTCGTCGTACGGATATTCTTGTTGTCTGTCGTCTGCTTGTTTGATCACACGTGGATATTTCCCTTCAAACGCGTCAGCTGCGTTCGTTTTCAGCCTTTATGATATTTACATGTTTGCAGATGTGCTAAAAAGACTCGAAAGTGAAGGAAAGACCGCAGAAGATCATGATGCAGATTTTTTGTCTGTAGTGAGCATGTATGGAGGTGCGATGAATGGATCAATTGAACTTCCTCATAATACTGGAGGTCATTCTAGCTTCTTTGTACCAGCCTGTTTTCAGCATACTTACTTTAGTACATCCAGTCTGTGGGACACAGATGGAGTTCTACACCCACTTGTAGAAGTCACGCGAGGCAGTGGAAAATTCAGGTAGGAGCTTGCGGCCAACTTTTTCCCCTCTAAAATGGACATCGGTAGGGCTAGCTCTGCAGTGATGTCTGGAGCACAGTCATCTATTGTATAGGAGAAAAGTTTTTTGGGAATCGACTGCCAATGCAGTGGCAGATCCAGGGGAGGGGCTGGCCCCCCCTTATTTTTAGGTCAAACTGAGGCCTGATGGGGCAAAAAAATCTTTTGGTGATCCCCCCTCCCTTATCTCTGGGTCTGTACGACCTGCCCCCCCCTGATCTGAAGGTTTGGATCTGCCACTGCAATACGCTTCTTACAGGTGTCTATTCTTAAAATGGATACATCACAGAGAAGGTGGCCACCTTGAGTGTTGGCCACTGGAAGGTGTACCCTTGAAATTTGAGAAGTACTGGCAGCTGTCTGCTTTACTGTGCTATGCCTCTGCCTGAGAGAGAAGGCTACCTTAATGACAGGTCCATCTAAGTTAAAGGGGAGTTCCAGGGTGGGGTTTCATCTATGAGTTTTTTGGGGTGGAGAGGGCCAGTTGACCTGGAGCCCTTTACCTATATCAGACCAAGTGTGCCTGCAATTTTGCTATTCTATTATTTCTAGACTTTACACCAAAACTCCCAGCCTTATCCCAGGCTATCTAAGAACCAGGAACTCTTTTACACCTCTTGTCAATTTTATATATAACCTCTCCTAGACTGGAACCCTCTGATTTCTATACGCTAGCCCCACTAAATTTCTTGAAAACCCTACCCTTCATGGCAGCTCATGCCTTTATCCCTTTAAGTCCCAATATCCACATACAAATTCTCCAAACTGATCTCTATATATTTTCTTAAAGGATGAGTTGAGAGAATTTGATAAAAGATCAAAGCATTTTCTCTTACGTGATCATTTTATTAAATTCTCATAACCTCATCTCTTGACAATCTATGTCTATCACTTTGAGAAAGTTGATGTTGGTCACTATTAGGACTTAAAAGGTTATAGCACAAGGGTCCTCATTAGAAGGATCTCTTCAGCCTCTTTTTCAGGGCTGGGTGCCCTCTCTTTCCCTACTTTGGAGTATTCTCTCCCACATACTACAGAAGAACGGAAAAGTAGAGTTTGTCTGCATTAACTGTTATGCTGTTAACCCAATATCCACATGCAAATTCTTCAGACTGATCTCAAGTGAACACATTCCTTTTACAGAATTAGTTGAGAGAATTAAATTTTGATAAGTGTGACTTCCAAGTAGCTGTGCTTTCTATCTTGCTTTTAATTGTCAACATGTAAATTACTTCTCTTTTTTTTTCCTTGGAGCACTAATAAAGATTGATTGTTGATTGATTGATTGTTGTGTAAAAGATTGAAGCCTTTTTTCTTCAGTGATCATATCATCAATAAAATCTCATAACCTTTTCTCTTGGTAATGTATGGATATTGTAAGGAGAAAATTGATGTTGGTGGCTCTTAATGGGTTCAGAAGTGTACACTTAATTATCATGATCATCATTCCCCCCCCCCCCCCCCCCCCCCCCCCTGCCCCGGACTTTTCTTGCCCCCAGCCGCGGGGGGGGGCACCCCGGGGCCGGGTTTTTCTTTTTATTATCCTATTATTTTTTGTTTCCTATCGTTATATTTATGGTGGTAGTATTTTTTATCTGTATATCGAGGGGAGGTGGGTGTTCTAAACTATTGTCTTCTACTCATGTGACTCTTTTTCTATCTTGCTTTTAATTGTCAACATGTAAATTACTTCTCTTTTTTTTTCCTTGGAGCACTAATAAAGATTGATTGTTGATTGATTTATTGTTGTGTAAAAGATTGAAGCCTTTTTTCTTCAGTGATCATATCATCAATAAAATCTCATAACCTTTTCTCTTGGTAATGTATGGTTATTTTAAGGAGAAAATTGATTTTGGTGGCTCTTAATGGGTTTAGAAGTTTACACTTAATTATCCTGATCATCCTTCCCCCCCCCCCCCACCCCCCTCAGCTGGTGCTGGAATTTTCTTGCACCAGAGTGTGTGGTGGTGTCCCGCGTGGCAGATTTTTACCTTTAATACTCCAATAATTTCCTGTATCCAGAGATAATAGTTAAGGGTATGCTAGTTTCTGTGAGCATACTGGGAGTTACTTGCCCTTCAGAAATGTCCGCTTGAACTACAGGTCTTCATTCTGGAGACACAACACTCTTAAAATGGTATATATTATAGTGAGATAGGTGGATTAATTTAATGAAAATGCTGTTCACCTTTCTCTAATTTTGTTTTAGCCACACTATCAAGAATGGAACATGGTCCTTGACAAAAATTTCAAATCAATATGTGAAAGATCACAGTATTCGAGATTTTATTTCTTCCTGGGTCAATTCGCATAATGCAACATACAAGCTGATCGACAACTGCATTGGTGCCCATTGTAATCCCACATGTCCAGATAAAATAGTCTTCCTGGATGCAGGTGAGGTCTGGACCAAGGTCATTAAGACAGTTGTTATTGGATTGTCATTGGTGATCACTGTAATTTGTTCTGGACTGAAATTGACCTTCATGTGCTACTACAGTTACCTGGTAAAGAGACAGGAGAATTATTTGACTGATAGTGACACCTGTGAGGCAAGAAAGGAGGTATGTGAACATGGGTGGAGTCACGGGGCTATGAGCAGAGGGGACTGCCCCCCCCCCCCCCCCCCCCCCCCCCAAACACTTCCTCTTCCCCGCCCCCTTACTTTCTTTCCCACCACCCCCCCCCTAATTCTACACTGGGAAATATTTTACGGAGTGGGGACACCGGGAGGCAAAAAAGGGGGGGTTGGCACACGGGTGGGGGCCCGGGGGTATGAGCCGAGGGGACCTCCCCCCCCCCCCCCCTTTCAGCCCCAAAACTATTCCTGTCCTCCAGATCCTTAATTACTGGACACAAAGGCTCTCATAATTCTATAATCAATAATAATCAATACAAAATACAAAGGCTCCTTTCAAGAGGTCACCCCCGGGTCTTAAGTTATGGTCCTCTCTTTCTGTGTATGGATCCATTCTTGGTCCTCACTGACCTAATAGGCCCACAGGAAATTGAATTTTAGGTCACTGTTTTGTGAAAAAATTACCTCGTTATACACACCCTGGGCACCACAGTATAGACTTAGAGTGAGATCTCTTTCCTTTCCTTACTCTCACTACCCTTGTTCCTGCCCTTCCACTTGTCCTCCCTTCCCTCTCTCCCTCCCCCCCTGCGAACTTTCTTACAGGTATGCAGAGCTTTGCAGGCAAGGTTTTAGATATTGCATAACAATTTAATTTACTGTGAAAGGTTTGAACCCAGGAGTAATTTCAAAAGTAGGTTGAGTTTGATCGTCTGGGTGAACATAGTCCTGAATAGGACTGTTGTTGCTGACAGTGACTGACGCTTCGACAACCTGTGTGGTAGGCATCTTTAGAGTCAAAGTGAGTTGTAAAGAAGAAAATTTTTAAAGAAGCAGATTAGCCAGGGGTTTAGTGAAAAATCCAACTGTGCCTGGTTTATTTTCCAGCTACCACTGGGGAAGTCAGATGAAACTGTCAGTATTGCCTGCCTGTTTTTATCTTACAAAGTGGATTTGACTAACCAAAAGAAGAAATCCAAGAATGGTAAGTAGAAGTTTCACTTGAAAACTTTTGGCATTACTGCAGTATACCAGGCAACTTTTGATTTTTCACTAAGATATTGTTAACGATCTCATCATTCTAGTGGCTTGGTGGTCCACCAACTAGCTGAGCCACCAAAACATTTTCCTTAACTTGTTCTTTTAACCCTGTAAGTCCCAATATCCACATACAAATTCCCCAAACTGGTGTCCATACATTTCCTTAAAGAATGAGTTGAGAGAATTTGATAAAAGATCAAAGCATTTTCTCTTAGGTGATCATTTTATTAATTCTCATAACCTCATCTCTTGACAATCTATGGATATTGTTAAGAGAAAATTGAAGTTTGTCACTATTGGGACTTAAAGGGTTAAACTTATAACTATATTTATTATAGCTGTTTCAATAAAGATTGCTATGGGCATTGGGAATTGGGCATTTGGGCATAAGGAACAAGGCAGTGATTTGCCTGAGTTGAGTGACCACCAAACAATAGCTTCCTAGTGCCCAATTCCCAATGCGCAAAGCGACCTTTATTGAATCAGTTATATACCTAATTATTGTTCCCTAACATTTTATAAAAGTAAATATTTATCTTTTTCGTTCTTAAAACATTCATCACGGCTAGCGAGCAACTGAACCACTTCCATTAAATTCCTTCCCATTTGGCCCTGCATTCTGTAGCTGCTCAGGATATTAACCCACCACCATCCCCTGGCAATGTTTGAAAGAAGCTTAAAACTACTTACTTTTTCAAATGTAGACGAACCCTCCAGGGGTTGAATTCCAAGGGACCATATCCAAGTTCAGAAAAAGAAAAAAAATTTCGTAGTTGGTTGTTTACATACTCCATAAAAAGCGAAATTAGGCATTTTCACGCCGTAGTCGTGCAAAAACGGGCAACGAAATGTACAATAAAGCGTGATCACGTGCGCAGATGTTTTTTTGCTTATAAAACCTATTGTTCTTTTGACGTTCTCGTTGCCGTCCGCATCGTTGGATCTTAAAGTCCCTGTTACTTAAGTAGGATGTAGGTCAACAAATTCATTCTGAACGTAACTTGTTTCATACTTTTGAAAAGAAACACTCGGAGCACTTTCAGGATTGAATTCTCCATTTCACGGAAACCGGTCGTTTCGATACGAACTCTTGCCTGCGTGCAGACGTCTCCTATTTCCTTTGTTGCACGCGTGCAACAAAGGAAATAGGAGACGTCTGCACGCAGGCAATACGAACTCAAGCAGCAAATTTGCACAAAAATTTCGTCCACTTCAAGTATAGTTTGCACGTAAACAAGAAAAACATTTTGGGATAATATTCTTCGTTCTTTAAGCCTTGTACGTGGGATTACTTTATACTCGACTGAAAAAACTTGTATCGAGACGACCGGTAACCGTTTCACCATCCTACCCAGCTCAACACTGTCACGTGATATTGACTTAAGCTTTTATTGCAAACATTAGATAATAAATCTGACGCAAATGGAAATAAATGGAAACTTACCCGCGCAGAATCAGCTCTCGATGAAGACTCTGGTAGTTATTTGCAAGACTCTGACGAAAGTAAAGAGGAGGAGCGAGATTTTGCCATTCCGTTGCCTTCTAAGTTATTCAACGACATCGACGACGCCGACTCGTTCAATTCTCCGCGAGAACAGCCGTCTGATTCGTTTTCAACCATGGACGGCACTTCAACTATGGGGTCACATGCTGGAAGTGATTTAGCTCTCCTAGGAGGTAGCCATAGTAACACAGATGACGTATCAGTCAGCTTTTTGGCATCAGGGGGTAAAGATGCTACGGACTGCATAGAGGCGATTGGCAGCCCACCGACAAAGCAGATTCTAAAAGGTGTGTCAGCGTATTTTAACACTGGGGAGTTAGTAGCGATTATGGGACCATCGGGTTGTGGCAAAACAACACTACTTGATTTGTTGACTGGAAGACGTCGGCATGGACATATTGAGGTTTGTAGATGTGTCAGATAAAAGTTATTAATTGAACTAACGGTGCTATAGGGCTTGAGGGCTATGTCCCTCCGCTAACTCTTTAAACCCTAACATCAAAATTTCAAATTCTCATTTGTTATCCCTATACGTTTTTAATAGAAGTAGTGGGGAGAATTTATTGAAGTATCAATAAGAATTGTCTTGTGTGATCGTGTCCTCAATTCTCATGTCCAATCTGCTTTACAAAGCAGTGATATTACAAGGAGAAATTTGATGCTGATCACTCTTAGGGCTATGTGTCTCCGTCAATAGAGAGATTAGAGAGGTTAAGCCTCACGTGTACGTCAAACGGCAAACGCGAATTTCTACCACGTGACCAAGTTTCCTCTTTGCTTGTCGTTTACTGTTCATTATTTCTACCCATAAATTAGTAGTTTCACGCAATTTTTTATCCATAAGAATTGTTTTGAGCTGTTTTTATCCGCTCATTTTCTACTTTGAGAAATTCGCAACTTGAATCTGCCGTTTGCCATATACGTAAAGCTTAAACTCTCGATCTAGGGCACACGGCAACTGACGTCAGATTCAAGTTGAAAATTTTTCAAAATAGAAAAGGTGCCGCTAAAAAGAGTTCAAAGCAATTGTTATAGACAAAACGGATCAATTTAGGTTTCAGGGAAACTGCCCACCGACCCCTCCCTGAAACTAACATTAACACTTACTTTTTACTTAGGGCAAAACGTTAGCTTAGGGGAAGGGTAGGTGGGCAGTTTCCCAGAAACCTACATTGATCTGACAAAACAAACGTGAAGCTACTAATAGAACTGATGAACAGTAAAGCACAAGTTAAGGAAAAACTTGGTCACGGGGGACAAATCGACGTTTGCCGTAAACGTGATTCTTAATCTCTCTAATGTCACTGTTTCCTTGCATTTCAGTCTGGACAGTACAAAATGCAGACTGTAGACTGACATAGACCATTGTTTTCAGGGTTAGAAAACAATGGAACTATTCTTGTCTCGTTTTCATTTGCATGGTGACTTAATAATGGTCCAGTGGTGGATCTAGGGGAGGGGTCTGGGCGGGACCCGCCCCCACACCCTTATTTGTAGAGCAAACTGAGGTTCGAAGGACCGAAAACAATTTTTTTGGAGACCAGGCCCCCCCTTATCTAAAGATCTGGATGACCGCCCCTCCCCCCCTTATCTGGAGGCCTTGATCCGCCACTGAGGTCTACAGCAGTCTGCAGTCTGCATTTTGTACTGACCGGTTTCAGTCTTTTTTCTCGGCTCGCCAGCGTCATGCGGCTATCCTAAAACATGTATGATAACATTAACACTTTATTCACACCTTTCACATATTACATTTCCAATTACATTCTTTCCTTGTACTGTTACTATTTATTACTACTGAGAAGACTATAATTATTTTTGGTGTCTAGAGGCCAAGTAAACTAATGCAATCTTGTTGGCCTCTAGTTCTTATGAAAATATATTTACACAGTAACTAAATTAACTAAACTAATTTAAATAACAAATAATAAAGCAAATTCTTGAACAACACTAAAAAGTAAATGCAGATAAGATCGTCGTAGTTGAAGACGCAACTTATGCAGTGGTTCCAAAAAGAAAGTCTAAAAAATCAGGCTTGTCGGGATTCGAACCGCGATGCAGGTGTAACGCTTTAACCAATAGGGAGGAGAAGTCGTTACGTCACGTTGCCATGGTAGCAAAATGTCTGGATGACAACATCCTGACAACGTCACTTAAAAAGTGAATTCGCACTGTTTCAAACTACATCGATCTTATTCAGTTTCATTTAATTTGTCAAAATTTTCTGGGGTTGAATCCGAAAGGACTGTAAGTCAAGAAAAAGGAAAAGAAAATTTTTGTGTTTTGTTCGTAAAGCGGTACGAGGAATCAGGAAGTTTCATGTCGCAGTCGTGCACTGACGGTTAAGAAATGTACAAAAAGCGTGATGCACGTGCAAAATGGTTTTTTTGCTAATGAAACCTATTGGTTGTTTGACGTTCTCGTTTAGCTCCCAACCGTTGTGATCCAGAAATTTTGCTACCATGGTAACGTGACGTCGCACTTCTCTCTCTTGCACAATAGTTCCGTACAATGTCAAAACGTTCAGGCTTTAAGTATACAACCAGAAAACCTAATTCGGAAACGGTGTCCTTAACACTTAGCGCGTATGTCCGTTAACGTCGATTTCAACCTCTTAAGCAGCGGGCCTGTTCCGTAGGATTTTGCCGTGAGGTGGCGACTTTGTTAACTGGACGGCCCTTAGGTGACTACTCAAAGGGATATTTTTTCCGGTTATTTTTAGCTCTTTACTATTAACAATGTTTTCGTAATCAGTCTCCGAGGGATTGCCACTCTTTCAAATAATTTTTTCCAAAGCTCTAGTAGTATGCGCTCCTCGAGCCCAAGGAATTACACTCAAACCCCGCTTTTCGGCCTCCCGCACAATACGGAAACCTCGTTATTACGGACAGTTCTCCATGTCCCTGGGAAAAGAATTCCCCTTACATTTTCTCTTAATTCAACCCGATTAAAACGGACACCCCGTCAATACGGAAACTTTCTATGGCCCCCTCAGTGAAGTGCCGGATCTAGACTTGCTACAAGTCGACCTCTTGGCGAGCGGAGCGAACCTTTATTGGCTGCGAAGCGGCCGACCGCGAGTGACGAAGTCGCGAGCGGTCCCGCGCCATATGAAATCCGACGAAGGGCTTTTTTGAAAGTCTATGCCGGATCTAGACCTTGAGATAAGGTGGGGGGCCCGGTCACCCCGACCCTGAAATAAGGGGGGGGGAGGGTCTCCGAAAAATTTTTTCGGCCCTTCGGGCCTTAGTTTGGTGTAAAAACAAGGGGGGCAGGTCCCCCTGGATCCGACACTGCAGTGTCCGCGGTTTTAACGGGTTTGACTTTGTATTTGCCGCAAAACTCGCAAGCATAAGCGTCGCGTCAAACACTATATGAAAACGTGCTATAAATGTTATCATATGTTGAGTTGAAGCTCTATATGGACCCTATATTGTCTTGGTTTATGTTCCGAACAATCAGTTCTGGAATTGGCGAAAGAGAGACCCTCTGCTGTGGATATAATTCTTCGACTACTAGATTAGAGTTTTCTCTACCGACTGTAGCCCGCAAAGAGATCACTGTAACCTCGTTGTCGTTCGATCTTCCATAAGGTACGAATCGCCTCAGCAAATCTTTCACTCCTGCTCGGAAGTCTCTTTTACGGATGGAATATATCAACGGGTTGCACACTGTGCTGGCCATGAAAATGCAAGTTGTCACATGAACAACTTCAGCGGACACGTTGCTTTTGATAAAGCGGCGGAATAAACTTAAAGCCAAGGTGGGAAGATAGCACAGGAAGAACGCACTGATGATGATTACGACATCGATAGCTGCCTTACGTTCGTTAAGGCTTCGTGTCATCTCTCGTTTCTTGTTTTCTGCTGTTTCGGCGGGATCGTCATGGCCTCTTATTTGGACCTGTAAGGCGTGTATTTTAGTTTTCGCAGTTTTGTATACTGCGCCGTTAAAGTACGCGACTGAAAAAAATAACATTGTAAGCAATACTGTGAAAATGATCGTCCTTAGTCGACTAGAAGCACTCGGCGCTAACCATTCTTGTTCGCAGTAAAACACTGCAGGGTTATAAGAGTGTTTTTCCCCTCCGACAAAGAGCCCGATTCCACCTGAAATCGGCGCTACCCAGATGAGGACTAGAACCACTATTTTAGATTTAGTCATCAGACCATTGTAAGTCAAAGGCGACTTGACGATCGCACTGTATCTGTCGTAAGACATCGCTACCAGATGTAGAACTGTGTTGAGGTAAAAGTACTTTCCAAGGGATGAATTGAAATAACACATGAATTCACCGTGAAGCCATCTTTCTTGAGCTATGCTTGGGATGCGAAAAGAATTGACGAGGATTAAAAACAAGATATCCGATAATGCGAGGCTGGCCAGTAGAATATATCGCATTTTGTGAAGTCTTGATATCAGAGCAATGGTTACAAAAACCAGTAAATTACCAGGCAGGCCGATCACGTCGATAACGGAGTAGAAAACCGCAATGACTTGAGTAAACGCCATGTTGTTGAAGTGAAAGTACTTCAGTGAAAGACGCTGATCTTCAAGTGGTCGTGATACTGAGCTTCCCCTTTGTTGGAAGACTCTTGCGAACTTAATTTATTAAGTCCTGAAAGTATAAGAGAGTTAATTGCGGTCTCGGAAATGCACTTTAAGGCTATTGTATTCTCAAGAAGCTTTTCGATTACATGTCTTGTTTCTAAACGTTAATTGAGGAAGTCCTTTACTTTAAGAGCAAATGATGCAAATGTTCTTCATCAAGCGTAAAAATGAGCACACTCAATTTTTAATATTCCCCAATCTGTAGCTAGATGGAATAAAAGATAACTAAAGTCGTTTCTATCAAAATGATCTGTAAATTTTACGATAATGTCGTTTTTGTGTGTACAAATTTAAATACAAGCGTCTTTTTCTTTAACATAAATTTTAAAGGCGGAAATTTGACAAGCTTTGCCGCACGGATCCAGGAAAAAAAACACTTTGAATTTTCGATAAGGATCTTTCCCGCAGAATCTTTATACTTCAACGCCTAAGAGTGCTAAGATGCAAATGACCTGTTTGCTTAACTTCCGCATGTGCGTTGTAGTAGTGAATTTTAGCCATTTATTCCTTATGCTAGCGTTTTTTCTAGCATTTACTGAGGCAAAAGCATCAAGTTTTATTCGAACATTTTAGTGGCATTTTCCCAGGAAATGATTTTTTTTTTCAGAGAAAATAAAAACTGTAACATTATTAAGGAAAGATGACGATATCAACTCGAAATTTAATTCAACTCATGTTTCTCTAAATTCCGTCAGGAGAAACACGTTTTGCTGTATTAAAATTATTTTGTATACATTGTTTGTTGGCCTTAAACCCACCCCTTAAAACGTTTGGAATTAATAAATAAGCTTCTGTATAATTAACAATTATTCCTCGAGCCCGAATGGGCTTTGAATCAATAGCCCATGAGGCCGAAGGCCGAATGGGTTATTGAATCCGAGGCCATGAGGGCTCGAGGAATAATTGTTTTATTAAAATCCAACTAGTTGGTCAAAAATATCGAGACAAAACAACTGTAGCTAGTTGAAGCTAGACTTTAATCCTTTTTTGCCGCCAAAAAGCCGGCGCTTTTCGCCACTAGTGGGCTATAACATATAGCCTAGTTGTAGCTCAACCTATCAGAACGCAGCATTGATAATAGACCACCAGCTGGATTTTACTAATGAGTATTATCCAAGCATTTAAACGACTTTTTTGTTGACGACAGAGCATTTTAGTGGGAAAAATGGAGCTTTTAGGTGAAGCATAGTAGTAGGGAATCAAAAGCCTAATGTACAAAAGCCTGGTGAATTTTTTGTTACTAAATATAGAATAGAATGCGTGTATGCGGTATTTACGCACGAGCTTTTGACGCACTAAAACAACGAGAGCGAACTGAATAGCGCCCTACAAAGCACTTTCCATGTTATATTGGGCTTATACACACACATACTGAGACATTCATTATTTTTAGTTATTATTTTGTACTGAAATGGTAAATTTGTCACTAGAAATTGTAAAATGACAAGGAAAAAGACGTAATCTTTTAAAAAGTATAAGTAAAGATTTACGAAGATAAGGATATAACAACTGTCAGGAGCCCATGACCAGGATTATGCGCTCTTGCCACTGTTTAAGGCAATACAGTAATTGCAAGTAAGCTCAACTTTTTCTTTTGAATCTGCAGTGAAAATAAATACGAAAACAGTATCAAATTAGTCTCAAGTTAAGCCTAGTCACAAATATCACGTAAAATCGCCTAAATATCTTTCCGGAAATTCTCAAAAAAATGTCTAAATATCCCAAAAATTTTTCTAAATATCTGGAAAAATCCTCGAAATATCTCGTATTTTTGTTTTAAAATAAGCCGATTTTGAATCTCTTAGGCCAAAATTTTCCCCAGCGGTAGCTGAAAAGCATAATCAGGCTCATATATGTTTCCAGCATCCGCCATTTTGACAAATGGCTGCTAGTGTCTAGTGATATGGAATACATCATTCAAGTGGAAAACCGCTGAACTGGATTATTTCTAGCATGGAATGGTAAAACGGAGTATTCTGTCAAGAAGATGGCGAGGAAAAGCTGGAAAACAGCCAAAAAAAGCTATAAATTTGTCCAAATATCCCAAAATTTTCTAAATATCTGGGAAACTTCTAAATATCTCAAAAAATATCCGGATATTTGTGTCGCCTAAGTGAAGTGGCCGTGTTGAGTAACAGAAGACAAAAAAGCTGCTATTAACAGTGTAAAACGTACTTTCACAAAGCTGCCAGGAAATACGTACAACCTTTTAAGGGTTCCTAAGCGTTTTAAAAGGAATTGGTGGAGATGCGTTATGAAATGTTCAGATAATGGGTGGCTAGTTAGCGGTTTTCGTGCCAGCAATTTTTCAGTTTTTAGTGGGTGGTATCTCGTTATTTCTCGCTTCTAAAGAGCTAAAATCTGCACAGGTTGCCCATGTCAACTAGCTCTTGTTACTTAAGAATTCAGTTCCTAAATACCGCGACGACTTCTACGATAAAAACCAATTTGCATAGACTGCGAACAGTCTTTCTTTTTCTTCAGATTTATTGAGGGGAGTGCACGCGCGCGAGAGCGACGAGCGGCGAAGCCGCGAAACGCGAGAAACGAGGGCGGCAGGCTCTTCGGAATTCCGCCTTCAGTCACTCGCGTGTTCATTTTCGTGTCTCGGGCGTTTCGCTAAGAAAAAGAGAGACTGCTCGTAATCTAAAATTCGCACGATAATGAACCAAAATGTACGCAATGACGTCATGGTGAACTTATCTCGTTTTCAGGGTCGTGTGTACATCAACGGAGTAGGTCTGGGACAAGTACAAGATTGGTACGCCTGTAAGATTGGTTACGTATTACAGCTCGCTGTACCCTACTACGAGGAGCTTACGGTTCGACAGAATCTTTTTTTTGCAGCACACATGAGATTACCAAAGGGAACATGTATATCTGATAAATACGAGCGAGTTGAACAAATTATCGCTGAGGTAAGTAACTTAAAAAAAAAACGCTTACCGTAAGCGTTTTTTTTTGGGGGGGGGGGTGAGAACTAATGCAAGAGAGAGTATGTAAATGAAATGAAGTATGAGTAGAAGAAATGAAAGAAAGAAAGAAAAAGCAGTATAGATAATGGAGTGTGGGAGGGACTGAGAAGATAGAAGGTGGAGGTGGGGGGGGGGTGGGGTGGGTGGGGGGGGGGGGGGGGGGGGGGGGGGGGGGGAGAGACAAGTGATAAAAATTGCCGATACGAGTAATCACGGTCGAGTTTGTTTATTATCGCAAAACGAGTCGACGATTATTTTGGCGCAAAATGTACAGTTCGAATTTTCTCAAGTTTTACATCATTATTGATTGTTGTGAGAACATTTACTGTCGCTACTGCATCCAAAATAGTTTGCCATTATCGTCTTTAGGAGAAAGAGTTCTTTATTTTATGTTGTCTAGATTAAACAAACTCGACTGCGATTTCTTATATCGGCGGATTTAATCATTTGTTTGCCCCCTGAGAAACCGCGTGACATCGCTTTTATCCCGGCTGTCCTAAAGCGCGTGCAAAGATGGCGAGTATCGTGAATAAGGTCTCATGTATTGTCGTAAAAAAAATACCGTACGAATCCCTTTGCTCTGTTATCTAATAACGTTTTTCCCTCGCTTCTTTCGTTACCAGACTGGATTGACGGACATGGCAGATACGGTCGTTGGCGGATCAGTAGGACTGGGTTTAAGTGGAGGGCAGGTAAGTATAATATCAACTCTGTGTTTCTAAATGTAGCGGAAGCTGTGCTTGCTTACTGCAGGCTATCCTTGGGTGAAGAAGATTTTCACGGGGAGGAGGATTGTCGTTATCTTGATTCCTCTTCCGAGTAAAAGGAATAAGAAAAGTTAAACTTACCGTGCTCAACTTAGTAGAACCGCCGACCGACGTCGTCATGTTTTATTAGGGACCTTAAGATCCAACGAACCGACGGCGACAAGAACGTCGCTTAAAAAGTGAATTTGCGTTCTTTCAGTCTTTATAGCGATTATTCCTACCCACTTACTTTGTCAATTGTAGGCGAGCCCTCCTGAAGCTGAATTTCAAGAGATCAAATTCAAGCTCAGAAAGAGAAATAAAATTTCGTCGTTGTTTGTTTACGTCCTCAATAAAACGCGCAATTAGGCATTTTCACGTCGTAGTCGTGCAAAAACGGGAAAGAAATGTACAAAAAAAGTGTGATGCACGTGCGAAGTTGCTGTTTTGCTAATTAAACCTATTGTGTTTTTGACGTTCTCTTTGTCGTCCGCGTCGTTGGATCTTAAAGTCCCTATTAGGGACCTTAAGCAACGACGACAACGGCGGCGGTGTAAACATCGCTAAAAAAATAAATTTGCGTTCTTTCAAACTTAGTCGCGTCTATTTGGACCCGCTCAATATGTCAAATGCAGACGACTTTTCCTGGAGTTGAATTCTTAAAGATTTTAGTCAAGTTCAAAACGAGGAAGGAAAATTCGTCGTCGTATATTACGTCCTCCATAAAACGTCAAATTAGGAGGATTCACGTCGTAGTCGTGCGGTGGACGTCAAAGAAATGTACGAAAAAGCGTGATGCACGTGCAGAGCTGTTGTTTTGATCATTAAACCTATTGTTTGAAGTTGTCGTCGTAGTTGTTTAAACTCCCTATTTACCCTGTAAAATGCTAACTCCCGTATACTCTACTTCTCCTTCCGGCTGTTCGAACATTGGATTGCGCTATCCAACGGATAAATCACTATTCTGTGGATAAACAGTAGGAAAATCCAGTTGCGTTATCCAGTGGGTAGAGATTTATCCACCTCTTGAACTACTAGGCCCACTCTTTCCCTTCCCTCCCCCCCCCCCTGAAAAAACCTAGAGGAAGACACAAAGCACGAGGGTTAATGAGCAAAACAACTCTGCACGCCCTTTTTGCATTTCTCCGCCGTTCTCGCAAACAACACTAAACGTCAATGATAAACTTCAATGTTTGGAGGAGAACAGAAGATGAGACAGTTAATTCAAGTTTCATTTGCCCTGTGTTTGAAGTCGTCGCTACCAAATCAGACTGTGGATGAGTCAGTGGTGTGAGGTAAATCTAACAAACTGAAATAATATTGATTCTTGCTCCCACGAGTGCACAGCTGATAATTAAAATTCAAGAAAACTCCCAATTTCATTTTGTAAAAATACTGTAAAACAAATAGCATCATGTAAAAGTGCTGGTCAGTAGCTTTTATTTGAAAGGTCACACCATAGGATTTCATCTACAGACTCAAAAGTTAGAACCACCTTGTACAGTATAACAAACAGTACCACAGGAAAGTACTGCTCAGTAGCTTTCATTTGAATGGTCACACCATAGGATTTCATCCACAGACTCAACAGTTAGAACCACCTTGTACAGTATAACAAACAGTACCACAGGAAAGTATTCCTCAGTAGCTTTCATTTGTGCACACCTTGAGATTTCATCCACAATATTCAAATGTTAGAACTTCGAGTAATGCCTTTCACTGGATTATTGCTCGCATCTCTGGGATCTAACCTCTAAAATTTGTATTGCAGAAACGACGCCTGTGTGTTGCTCTTCAACTAATTAACATGCCGTCAGTACTTTTTCTCGACGAACCAACATCTGGTATGTGATAATTAGCACTGAATTACTGGATGAGATTTTTCAAAATATTTAGAGTTATGAAGGGCGATAGAAGCGGAAACCTTGATATTTTTAGATACAATAAAACCCCAGTAAAAAAGGCCTGGTTCTTTTCATTATGTCAAAAATTCGGAAAATTTGGTCAAGATATCAATGGAACGTTTTGGTCTAGATGGAGATTTCTTGGAATTGAAACGGCGAGTCGCCCGCTTGCTCGAGTCATACATCGCGCGTATAAACCAGTATCAACGCGCGACTGCGCTGTGTAAGCAAAGAGCTTTGGCAGCAACGACACGAACGGCTACGAAAAGGTCACCTAAGAAGTTAATTTGTGTTGCTTCAAACTTGATCGCGCTTATTCCATCTTGTTGAGTTCGTCAAATGTTAACGAATATTTCTGGAGTTGAATCCTAAGGGACTGTATCGAAGTTTAGGAAAGGAAAAGAAAGTGCTTGTTTTGTGTTTAAGTCGTCCACAGGACGTGAAATTATGCATTTTCACGTCGTGCAACGGCGGCAAAGAAATGTACAAAAAAGCATGATGCACGTGCAGAGTTGTTGTTTTGCTAATCTAAGCCTATAGAGCGTACTCACTCACGTGGCCAGCATCTATACTAATTAATACAAACAGAACAAAGCTTTTAGTTAAGAAAAGAGTTCAGTTCCCACTGGGTTGTCTTGGTGCACCAACATGGCTGTCGTTTTATTGTTTTGGAACACCAATATGGCCGCCGTGACGTCATGTGAATACGCTCTAATCCTAATGTGAGATTCTTAGGGCCTGTTTACATGAAGGTGGGGGACCCCAGATAGGTGAGGTAACCCCCCTTAGGTGGGGTAAAAAAATAACCCTCCTTTACATGCAATCTTACAACCCCGCCATACCGGGTTGCACTTTCTCAAGATTACTAAGTGGTCGCTAAGCACGTAAACAGGAAAAATGCTGGCAAAGCACGTTTTTAGGTGATTGATGCTCTTCTACACTCGCTTGCTGCTCTTGCTGCAAGCTCCAGTGCTGTGGCTTTCTATTGTTACCTTTCATAATGATGCAAAGCTACCGCCAAAGTGAATTTTGCGGGAATTCAATATCGCGAATCCGACCCCGGCTAGGCGGGATACCCCACCTTGAAACGTTTACATGACAAAATTTGACTCCGGCTGAGAGGGTTACCCGGTCTGGCAGACCGGGCTACGCGCCTTGGCGGGTCACCCCATCTATCATGTAAACGTGATCAAATTAAAATGAGAGATTATATGGACAGGCGGGTTACCCCACCTTAGCGGGTTACCTCACCTAGCTGGGGTCCCCCACCTCCATGTAAACAGGCCCTTACTTAAGGTGGCTCGATACAGTTTTTCAGGGCCAATACCTCCCAAGTTTGAGCATAAACTACGTCGCCATAAACAAAGTTTTGGAAAAATTGTCACCACAGTTGTATTAGATAAAGATGAAAATTTATTATGATCAGGTTTGCAACGGCAATCAGAGTTGTCATAGCAACGAAATGACGCTATTACCTATTTTACTTACAGGAGTATTTCTCGGCACTGGGAACTGTTCTTCCAAAATCGTTCACGGGAGCTTTTTCCTCCAATAGCTGCCTCGATGTTCGCGAAGTTTAAGCGAAATCTGTAAGAGCATTATCGAGATATTTTGGAATGAAGTTTTTGTGGTTAGAAACACAGTGAAAAATGGACAATATTGTTGTTTGGCCGTTATCTGTAGAAAATGAAGCGCTTTTTACATGTCATCTCACCTGATAGTAGTTTCAATCTTTTTAAAAACGTGTGTGAAAAATTATGGAGATAGCTCCAGCCGATTGCTAGAAAGAAGGGTTTGATTAGCATGTATCGAGGTGCTCTCGTTAGCCGTTTTGTAAACATTTTGGTCTTCTTGAACAAATTGGCGAACAGTTTTTAATCCGCTCGATAGATTTTGTTTTAAATTTAACATTCTTGAGATTAACCTTTCTTTTATATGACCTTTTAGTTTCAAGATTATTGATACATTGTAAGGCAGTAAAATAAGGGCTACAATTCGTTACTTTTTTATCGGAAGTTTCGTTATTACAAGTGAAAGCCTCTCATTATTCACGGCATTGTCTCCAAGTTTCATTTTCACGTGAACAACAGTAACTAACAATACATTTGACATATGCAAAAATGCTAGGTATTGTTTTGCACGAAACTACGAAACTTGGAGACAATACCCTGAATAATGAGAGGCTCACATTTGTAAACACAAAATTTCTGCTAAAGTATTGGCGAATTGTAGCCCTTATTTTACTGCCTTACAATATATCAATAATCTTGAAACTCAAAGGTCATATAAAAGGAAGGTAAATCTTAAGAATCTTAAGTTTTTTAAAAAATCTATCGAGCGGTTTAAAAATTATTCGCTAATTTGTTAAAGTAGACCAAAATGTTCAAAAACCGCTAACAAAAGCGTCCCGATACATACTAATCAAATCCTTTTTTCTAGCAATTGGCTGGAGCTATCTTCACGATCTTTCACACACGTTTTTTAAAAAGATTGACACTACTATGAGGTGAGATTGCATGTCAAAAGCGCTTCATTTTCTACAGATAACAGCCGAACATCAAGGTTATCCATTTTTTACCGTATTTCAAACCACAAAATCTTTATCCCAAAATATCTCGATAACGCTCTTACAGATTTCGCTTAAACTTCACGAACACCGAGGCGGCTATTGGAGGAAAAAGCTCCCGTGCATGATTTTGGAAGAACAGTTCCCAGTGCCGAGAAATACTTCTGTAAGTAAAATAGGTAATAGCGTCATTTCGTTGCTATGACAACTCCGATAGCATTGCAACCCTGATTATAACAAATTTTCATATTTATCTAATACAACTGTGGTGGCAATTTTTCCAAAACTTTGTTTATGGCGACGTAGTTTATGCTCAAACTTGGGAGGTACTGGCCTTGAAAAACTGTATCGAGCCACCTTAAGTCGTACTCACGTCAAGGTCTTTTTTTCCTTATGATTTATCGATTTTGTTCTTAGGTCTAGACGCGTCATCTTCTCTTGAGCTTTTAAATCATCTGAACCTTGTAGCTGAGTCTGGCAGGCTTGTTATACTCACCATTCATCAGCCCAGACTGGAAATCTTTCATCTCTTTCACAAAATTCTTTTTTTGTGTGATGGCCAGGTGAGTTAAGGTGATGTCGCGTAAGAATCTCGTAAAAGGGTATAGTTTTTGGGAAGTCTTAACAATAAAGTCAAACCCCCGGACTCTCTTTATTACGGACAGTTTGCTTTGACCCTGGGGAAAGAAAGCCTTTATACTTCCTGTAAATACAACCCGCTTAATACGAACACCCTGTTAATACGGACACTTTCTATGGCCCCCTTAGTATTCGTATTAACGGGTTTTGACTGTATACTGCTAAGTGCCTGAAGATTTGAATGAAGGTTTTGTCTACAGACCCTTGTGCAGCTTAATTAACAGTACCACAGGAAAGTACTGCTCAGTAGCTTTCATTTGAATGGTCACACCAAAGAATTTCATCCACAGACTCAAAAGCTAAAATCACCTTGTACAGCTTAATAAACAGTATCACAGAAAATTACTGATTAGTAGCTTTCATTAATATTTGGATGGTGATATCTAGGATTTCATCCAGGGACTCAAAACTTAGAAGAAACTTTTCGACGTGGAATTTCACGCTGGCAATGAGAAAAGTATATAATCTCTTCTTAGTTGGGTTTGTTTTGTTTAGGTTGCATATTATGGTGAACCGTCCATGGCGCCAGAGATATTCCTTAAAGCTTATGCGGGCGCAACAACTGAAGAGTTCCGGATGAGCGAAGATGCTCCGAAAATTGACGCCAAGAACCCCGCAGGTACCAAAAAAGAAGGCATACCCAGTTATCATGGCTCTAACAATTCCGAAAAGTGTTCTTGACGTCGATTGAAGTGGCATTTCTTGAAATAAATAGATAAAACTAAGATGAAACGAATAATAGAGCGATATTTAGTTGCGTACTGCCTAATGAAAATAGCTGTCTTTGTCGAAGAAACATTTATAAGTATTTTCAAGTAAATAAGTTTTAACTGATCAAAGTGAACTAATAGTTGCCTTTCTCGTTTTAAAAGATCATTTTTTTTCGATAACAGACACTATCATGGATTTGTTAAACTGCCCCGAAGCTCGGCACGCTATTTTGGATTATTATCAAACAAGTGGGGAACCACAGGCAGTCCAGGAGGCTATTATGACGTCCCAAGAAAGCGCAAGAAATACCGTTTCCATGGATACCATGACAAAGTTGTAAGTTTGTATTGGGTTATGGGTTTTCCCGCGCTTCGAACTGGTTTACAATACACTTTTCCCGCGCTTGCATGCACCCGGTTGAACTCTTACCCGAGCTTGGCACTAGTTACCCTTTTTTCCGCGCTTAGAAACCGTTAAACTTTTTGCTGTGCTTAGAACCGGTTACATTATTCCCGGGCTTAGAAATTGTTTACACTTCTTGCTTTGCTTAGGACTGGTTACATTTTTCCCGCGCTTACAACCGTCTGGACATTTTTCAGAATTCCAGTGCTCGACACCGGTTTTTTAGTGATTATTTTTGGTTCCGCAGTTAAGCAGCTTATAACGCCCGTCACTGTCTTCTTCAATTTTCAGCGTGGAGGGGGCTGGAACATTCAAGAGAATCTTTGTCCTGGAAGGCAGAACTTCTGTCAAGCAAACAGTTGGCCAACTCTTGTATTTTCCAATTATATTTTTGACATTTGGAATTATAATAGGTAAGTTAAATCGTGATAATAGTTGTTTCCTGGTAAGGCTTTTCTCTTTGCCGCTATTTTTCATCATAAAAACACTTAAAGATCTTCTCTTTTATTTCGCTGTTTGCAGCTATAAACAGGGTGTGACGGAAAGTTCCACAAAACGTAAAATGACGGAAAAGCTTCCCCTAAAAATCACCCGTTCCTCGCATTTTATTAGTTACAAAGGATTTATTCTCTGTTCATGTTTTAGGAACTGTTTATTGGCAAGCGGAGGAGAGAGATGGGATATTATTGATGTCTGCTTACTGTGTTTACTGTTGTGCCAGTCCGTTATTCCTGAGCTCTGTTTTAATGGCCCACCTCAATAAAGCTCTGGACGTAAGTTTCGCTTTTACGTTTACGATTCAACGCCCAGGCCTCAGAATATAAGATCGTATTGAAGATTTTATTGACTCAGGTTTGCTCAAGATCAGGCTGACCTCATTGGTTTGTTGTCGTGGTTTTGCCTTTACAGTGTTTTCCCTTTCTTTGTTCGTGCATATCAGTGACCGAAAGGCCGTGCATTGATCATGTGACGCTGAATAAATGGCTTTGCGGAATATTGAGGTCTAGGTACTAGCCAAAGATCGTCTTTAGAGCATAATAAATCGTAAAATCATCAGTTAAATTAGCTGCCAAAAAAACGCGCCAGTCATTGTTCATAAAGGTGAGAAAATGTTCTCAAAGACGGTATTCGCCAATGTGTTTAATCTAAGTGATCACGCTGATATAGGAAATTAACGTTACATTTAGGCTTTCTAGCGTGCCATAGTTGACTGTTTTTTCATGTTTCTCTAGATATTTCGCCTTGAGCGCGCTGATGGGTGTGGTCGGTCACATGAGAATGTCATTCAAACCTTTGTACGAACAACAGCTGTATGCGTGTTGCCAGTGATCCTGTGTTCAACTATGTCTTACTTCATGGTATGTTCACTGAAATACTTACATACATACATACTTTATTGAGACTCCCTTCAACAGGGCTTTTCAGTCACAATGTTAATTATTACATAATACTGGTAATTAAGAAAAGAAAGAAAACTTATTTACAGTAGTCAAATGAAATTCAAAATACATTCAAAATTATTCAAAATATATTCAAAATTATTTCGTCTGAAAAATCCTATTAAAAAGTCTCCGCTTAAAACTATCAATATCTTTAGTGTTCCTAATATTGTCAGGTAGCCCATTCCATGCCTTTGGACCCCGAAAATAAATTTTTGTCCCATTGATAGTCTACATCGGGGGACCACAAAAATATTTGAATACTAAAACTAAGTCATGAAATGTCGCCGTCTAGCATACCGATCATTGGTTGCGACCACTTATGTGTTAGGTATCACTTCTTTAGCCCGAGTGTTAGCACTGGTGGGCAGCTGTTGCAACAAATGGGGCCTCATGTCATAAATCACGTGATAACAGAGGATAACACTTGCGTGATGTGACGGATGCGTGTTATTTGACTTCGTTATTTTTTACCCGAAACAACATCATGTTATCTTTGTAATGAAAATCACCCTGGTCATCACTTTTTAACTTTTCATCCAAAATTTTGAAATTGGAAAATGGCGAGTTTAATGTTGTACGTGAAATCTTCAATTTCGCCTTATTCCTGTTCATGTAAACGTTTTGTAGCAACCTCGTGTATGACACAATTTTTTCATTCCGCTGATCGGTGAAGTAAAACATGAAAAAGGGGAAATGCTTTGTTTATAGTGAAAGTACACGTAGCTACTCTAAAACAATTTGAAGGAAATAATACAAATAACATAACAGGATCAATATTAACCTCGACTGTCAGGAGGCAACCAGTTGGCTCCACTCAAGCGTGATCGAGGAATTCGATTTCGAGACGATCGACAAACAAATACACCAAGCAGTCGGAGAGGGACTCGAACCCAGGATAGCTGTCCAGTCGGCCACGCTGCTTCCCTTTGCTCAACCACACGACACCTGACATGAGTACTTCCACTTTTCACGGCTTACTTTAAATACGGTATTTATCTCCTCCTGTAATTAACGTGCGAATATTGATACTGGTGATCGCGGAAAACAAGGACGTGGAGAAGAATCCAGAAATCTATTAATTATACAATCTGTCCGGCTACGGATGGGCCCGTTTGTCGTTTCACTAATCTTCGTCGCAAACTTTCACAATACAGGTAAGGTTGAATAAAATAAAATACACGAAGCATAAATACTGTTTTGGACCGTTCAGTGCTAGTCTTCCTCAATTAATTTTGTCATTTCTTTTGTCAACTCTCTTTCTTGTAGGTTATGACGTCCTATGAATTGTCGAGGTTCTTACTTATAACAATCCTTTCACTGGTTCTAAACCAGACGTGGATTGCAGTCTATATGATGGTGATTTGTGCGCAGCCGCAGATCGCTCATCGGATTTGTCCAATGGTGTCTGCTATTGGCGGCTTTGCGGGGGGCTTTCTAGTGCCCAGGCCTCAGATGCCTGTCGTGTAAGTGCTTAGTTGACTTCCGGCAACGATCTTCTCCATTGATTGAGTGGTTGTAACTTTTGAGTATGTAATTTAAATCCTATGGTGTGACAATGTTGGGTCTGGTCATTCAAATGAAAGCTACTGAGCATTACTTTGCTGTGGTACTGTTTATTATGCTGTACAAGGTGGTTCTCACTTTTGAATCTGCGTGAATGAAATCTTATGGTGTGACCATTCAAATGAAAGCTTCTGAGCAGTACTTTCCTGTGGCAGTTTATTATGCTGTACAAGGTTGTTCTAACTTTTGAATCTGTGTGAATGAAATCTTATGGTGTGACCATTCAAATGAAAGCTACTGAGCAGTACTTTCCTGTGGTACTGTTTATTATGCTGTACAAGGTGGTTCTAACTTTTGAATCTGTGTGAATGAAATCTTATGGTGATACCATTCAAACGAAACGTACTGAACATTGCTTTCACATGGCGCTATTCATTTGGGAGTGATAGAAGGCCAAAGGTTATCTTTGTTACAGTATTACAATGATGTAGCCGCTGAAAATAAATTTCTTTTGTTTCCTGTCTGTTGTTTTCAGGTATAATTTATTGTTCTATATCAACCCACAGTTTTATGGCTATGCAGCGATAACCAAAGTCTTGTTGCAGAATGTTCGTCTGAAGTGTGATTACGAATCCACGTTAAACTGCATCAGCACAGATGGCAACGCTATTTTGGGCAGATTTGGATTGGAGTCCGTGAATCCTTATGAATACCTCGTGGTAAGTTTTCTAAAGTAAACGGAACGAGTAGAATAAACAATAATCCTTTCCGGGTTTCCAAGACCCTCACTTTCAAGTGTTAGTGGGTTTCATTTGCATAGAGCGATTTTCGTAAGACCTTGAAAAATGGTTTCCGTAAGTGTTTGTTATTTTTTTTATCAGCCAATGGATGAAAAGAACAAAACACGGACTCTTCATTTTCCGGCCAAAGAAAACCCTAATATGGAGAAGGCATTGCTCGATTGACCAATCGTGTTGCAGTATGACGTCAAAGCGATTTCTAGAAAGTTCTTCGGGCGTGAAGTTTTTTCAGCCGAGCGTTCTCTTAACCAACCAAAGGTGCGTTTGTAACCGTTCGATAAACCAATCAAATCGCTTTATTTCCGCTCGTTTGTTGTTTTTGTTTTGTTCGCGCGTTTTCATTTCAAGGTCATACGAAACTTGCTCTAACGACCAAAAAATTGTTTTCATGTGAAAGACATCGCACTTTCCGTCGTTTTCAAAAAGAAGCTTGAAAGTTAACTCGGTAATGGGCTATTTCTTTATCAATCCCTTGCTTTGTAACAGAGAGGTAGCTCCAGGGCATAATATGGTTTGTGTTTTTTTTTCTTTTCATTTTTGTCTTCCCGTCGTACCTTGCGGGCTACTCCACTGTTACTCTGAACACAATAGAGCATTTCCGAGTTCCCCCGGGCCTCTGTTTCAAAACGAGGGTAGGTGCTCAGCCTTTAATATGGAAATCATTTTTCATTCTCATGCAAAT